GTGGGTACACACACGTGATCAATTAAAGTACGGCACTTATCATCATACGAAACATATGAGTACATGGGACCTCTGCACATAGGTAATACATTAACAACACTTAAACTTGTATCAGAAATAAATTTGAACATTAATTTATCACGTGTACTACCGTTTTCCAGATACTGGGCGTTGTAATCGCCCATAAAGACTACAGCACCATGCATTGAATATGTATTCCAAATATCATAAAGTTTATCGATATAATCCCTATAACTTGCAATCGTATGGTTAGAACATGGCAAATAGAGTTGAAAAATAAATATGTACTGTCCAGGCAATAATTGCATTTGAACACCACAGATACGGTCATCATCACAATTCAATGGTACAATAAGATGATCTAATCGTTTATGGTAACATATACCTACACCACCTTTGCCTATTCTGCGTGAATTTGGTACATATAAATCTTTGTCACATATGATATGAAACTTATAGTTTGATATAAGGGTGTCAACGAAGTGCATATTTTGTGGAGTCAGAAAATGTTCAGATATACCACATATATCCACTTTATATTTTATCAGTGCATCGCATAAGTACGACGAACTTGACATTAGACCAGAAACATTCCAACACATTACATTTAAATTCATGATAATAAGTAATAGAATTTGCAACATAACTGAAAGAGATTTTAGAACTAGTTTCATAGCAAATTGAGAAATGAAATCAGTGTATGAAGACTACATGTATGTGCTATGGTCTATCGGTAATCCGTAAATCGGTTCGTGACAGTCATTGTGCTGTTTGTTGTCATGAGATCTGCTGAAGGGTTTATATTACTGAATCGAGGCGGTAAGGAATACTCGCTACGTTGCGTCAATCTATTATTATGACTCAGTTTGTCACGTGATTTCCATAATTTGCACACAATTCCACGTGGCCAAAATCCTTCTTGTAAAGGATATGAAGCATAATCATCGTCTCTTACACAAAGACGCACTATCACCTTTCTCGGGGATCTACGAGTCGGGAATATGCTAACAGACGCCACACTGACACCTTTATCACTCACAAATTGCGTAATTGCATTTGCCGGCACGGAATTATCATATCCGCTAACATACAGGCACTTTGGTTTACGTTTGCCCTTTTTCACAAAGTCGTTAGAATTCGGCTGAGTAACGCGATCTGTTACTCTCACAGGGATGGAATTGGCAAGTTTTTGATTTGGCTCTTGTGTAGGACCATGCACCGGTGGCACTGTATCAGTGCTATTTTCAGCAGAAGACTGTTCAACAGCCGTACCCACCAAGTGTTGACCTGAAGGTAAAGTTGAATGTTGTGGTGGTATCCCGCGCGGAGGGCTTGGTGGTATTCCGTATACTAAAGGAAATGGCACAGCACGCATGGGAAAGGCATGTATAGGATACATGGGATGAGTAGCACGAGGTGAAATATTATATGTATTTGGCACCGGCGACTTTACACTAGTATTGGGCGAAGCATTAGCGGTTCCCCGCTGACGCGTTATATTCTCAAGAGACTGAACACGATTTTCAAGAGAGTTTAGTCCATTTTTCATTGTTTCAGTTAAAGAACTAACGACGGAATCGGGCACCTTCTGACAATTAGTTACGGCGTCTGAGATGCACGTGCTTAAATCATGCATAGCAACTTTAATGCTGTTCACTGTGGTACGTATAGTCGTTGTCTGCTCAGCTCTAAATTTATCAGTAGCTTGCATCGTTTGTTTCATTTTTAAAATGTCAGCCTCCTTGCGCAAAACGGTATCTTTCAACATTGTAAATTCCGCAACACTGACCTGCACAGTTGATTTAGGCTTACTGTTAGTATGTCGTGCCGGCGTGTCACCATGAGATGTGACATTAAAAGAGGTTTCAATAACATTCTGCACACGTTTATGTTGTCCATTACTAATCATTTCCTTCATGTTTGAGTAATCTTCACCAGCCATAATCGATAGGATGGTGTAAATGTCATTTGCTAGCTTATTTACTGCTATGTCACTTTTGCTAGTAGTCCGGCGCTTCAGTTGAGACTCGAACTCAAATGGAAAGTCATTATAGGATTTTAATGCTTCGAAGAAAAGCTGGCGAGTGTTTTCTAAATCAGATTCACTGGACCTGTAATCACATATAAGTCTGTTCATAAACATACCCGATGGCAACTCATGGTACAGGTTTATGAGGCGAGTGTATTCAACGAAGAATGGATCTCCTGGATCTAAATCATCGTCTTCGGCAACTCGACCTATATCTGACCTGGGCAAAGATATCGTAACATCCTGCTCCAGTTGCTGATGCTGCAATGTTTCTGTTGAAATGTTATTTTCATCAGCTGGTGTGACATTGTTTATTGACGTGCCAGGGGCGGAGACGAGGACCTTAACCTCGGTATTATCTGTCGGAGGTTCAAACTCGACATGGGTCGTATCTTCATCCATAGTATATATAAGACCGGCACGAGCACGCTTAACACGTGTTTTGATGTGTTTTTACTATCACGTTGAATCATTTTGACATTACTACTATATACCTCTTTCTCGGTGACATACACTTTCACTTAATTTGAGGCAAAGGATAATCACTGTCGATCCCAGCAGGTGTAAAGGGGATGTCTCCATATTCCTGCTCATTTTCATCAAAATAATTGAAAATGCATTTTGAAGTAAAATATTGTGATGTGAATAAAGCAATTATTTAACACATTGCAAGCGGCACTTACCATCTACCGAATACCAATATATCTCATTTATTACAAACTCGATTTCATAGACAGAACTGTTTTGTTAATTGTTGAAATGCTCTTGTTCTTGTAATTCACATGATTAAAAGAAATAAATAATTATACATCCTGAAAACTTCCTTGGTTTTCAGTATTTTCAATGAATTGATACCGCAATGAAGTGATTGACCAAGAAGAATTTACAGGTAACTAAGTGTATGAGAACAAGCGAGTGTATTCATATTTTATTTCAGAGAAATCTATGACCATTGTTAAAAATGATGCTTCTTTGGGGAATAGCCATTTTAATTGATTTCCAGTGTCATATTCCAGAATAAAAAGACTGTTTCAATTTTATATTTATTTGTAATGTAAATACATCCTTGAATTATAGATGCGCTTATTTCATGGTAAACAGAATAAAATAAAATGCCATTTACTTTACACGCTTGTGCGAAAATGATAAAACATTTATCTAAAATAGTCCCTTGATAATATTTTCATTTCATTTAATGACGCTGGTGTCATTAAGTGAGCAAACTTCTGACTGTTTTCAGTTCCTTTTTTTCCATTCCAGTTTAAATTAATTCCTGTAAAAAGCATATATTATCGAGGGCTTATTGCAAAAGAAGTCGTAGCCCATATGACATAAAGATGGAGTTACAACCTTTTCGCACCAAGCAGTCGAATAATTTTACATACAGAATTTACTCATTGTTGAGGACAGCAGGCTCATATTTCACACGAGAAATAAAAACGATCCGTCTCTATATAAAAACCTGTTAACAAAAAGGCTACCCAAGATAGAGATATATAATGTTTTTGTAGACAAGTGGTCTGTACTAAGAGATGCTATATTTTTATTTCATCTATGAAGGGTAATTAAAAAGTGGGTTTATTCAAAGGGGATCTTTTGCACACAGATTTGACTGTAGTAGTGCCTTCGGGATTTTATGGGAAAATCCGAGCTCTAGAATTACCACAAATGCTTTGCTTTTTACAACTGCGGAAAATAAAATATTTAGTACATTTGCGAAAGCAACAAACTGCGATACATTTCCAGAGCAACATTTGTAATAAGAAGTAAAAGTTGATCACTCCATTATGAAAACTATTTTAAGAAGAATGAACGAGAAATAAACATTACAAATATTTTACGATATCTAGAAAACCTTTCTGGTTTCACGTATGGACTTGGTTGAAGACATTGTTGACTATTTGTTCATTTATTTTGATTAAAACACAATGTTTCTCATAATGATGAGCCACTCAACACAATTAAGTATTAACTTCAAAACTTACAAGACTTGTACTATTGAATCAGCGATGTGTTTCAAAAGAGAGGATGTTTGGCTTGTATTTTTATGAAATATATTAAGCATTTTGTACATGACAAATAATTGTCAAAATTATCTAAGTGTTATTATACATGTACATGGGTGAAAGTTGGAAATTTTAAAAATCCTGAAAATCCTGAATTTAGCAGTTTTTTTCATAGTTTTACATAGAAGGCTTTCAGGAGACTGAAAATCCTGAACTTCAGGAATAGTCCTGAAAACTTTCACCCATGCATGTATGTCTCTGGTCCTTCAGCAATACTTCAGTGATGAGCATTAAATTCCGCTTATTGCGATGCTAATGTGAGATGTTTCACCTAGCTAAGCATTACCTCTCATAAACAGACTGAGTCAGAGGTTTTCAACTATTTTCGTTTATTTCCTTTGCTGTCGAGGGATTGCCCAACTTTAGCTGGACTGTATGTTCATATAAAAGGGAAAGCTGTCCCACTCACTCGAGCATTGGCGTCACACAAGTTTTACGTACCAACCCACTTATTTACCTTCGAGAAATACCTGTTAGTCATCATCATTCCTACTTCCAAACAAGAGGACATAACTCTGTCGTGGATTTTGACAAAATCATACCCCCTTTCCGACTTAATTTTTTCTTACCATCCCACTTATTTCTAACCCTTTTTCAGGTATTGCTACTTGTTAGTGTCCATCATCCCCAGGACATAACTCTGTCATGGATTTTGACAAAATTATTACCCTTTTTTTTCGACACAGAATTTCGGTTAAATTTTTCGAGGAATTGCTTTGAAAATTTAAATTCATGTGACCATCGTCCCAATTCTAGGCAAGTAGTTATGATAGTCTTGCACGCTTTCTTATGGACTTTTTTTTAAATCCGTACTTTGTTCCCTATTTAGTGCTACACGAGCTGTCTCTCACGATTCAATGTAAAACAAACAACAATTGTACCAATTCAATTATTTAACATTTATTTAGGTTACCATGACAAGAAAATGCAATTAACATGCTCAATATTATACAGTTAACATTCAATTAATCATGTACAATTTGGAAGATACATTCTTAAATCTGGTATAAGATACCCTAGAGATTCGACATCAACAACTAAATGTAAAATCAAGACTATTTAACACAGTTAAATTTCAATTTGTACACATCTTTTCCTGGAAAATCACATTTCAATTTCATGTTTCGAGGAGAAATTAAACATAATTTTATCTAAATTAGATGGATTTATGTGGCTTGCTATGAACAACAAAAATTCTACCAAACATTACCCGCCAAGATTTCTGATGATTTCTATTTACATTTAAATATAACACCATGAAAGTCGTTAAATGCTGTGTTGAGTATGATTTACATTTGTTTCCTAGCAAATCAAGCTATTCACCACAACTTTGTCTAGGAGTGAAATTTCTTCAGAATGCATGACCACAACGAACAGATGATTTAACACAAGTAATTTAGATTAAATTTTATATAAACGCAAACTTCCACACAGATCTTCAAATGTGATGATAATTACAAAAGTGGATTACAGTGCAAATGTCAAACACAAACCACGAGTTACATTTTCTCTTAGATTTACTTTTAATCAGAACATTTCATCATAGTTTAGCTCAAAGAAATTTTATGTGAAGTCATATATTTATTATTATTAAATCCTATGTCATCTTTAAAGATATTCAAAATGACGACGGTTCTTTTCTCCCCTTTAGGCCCATTCAGTTTAATAAGTAATCTTTGATGTGTCAATATGTCTATACATAAATTTACCTTACATTTATAAGAAAGAAAAAATTGCTTTGTCATGACTTTGGTGCTTCTTTTATGTAATCAAAAATTATTAGCATTTCTTACCAGATAAAATAAGCAAAACATGGATGACTCTGCAAAGTTAAACACTGATTTAAGAGCAGAAATCTGTGGCACTGAAATCATAACATAAAACTAGCATTTTCAAGCAGGATAAAATAATACAACTTAACTTATTAACTCTTCAACATTAAAAAACAAAATTAATGATGGGAACTAAAACCAAAAAGAACAATTGTACAAGATGAAATTCTAGCATAAAATGTTTGGAAATATTCTATGAGAATAAGTTTAAAGAATGTTCCTGTATAATTAAGGCAGATATATACAAAAACAAAATAGATACACAAATCAAACTGCCCTATAAAACAAACAAAATATACTTGTAATACAATAAAATGATACTTTAAAATTAAAGCAGCAACTGAAAAAAATACAACGAATCAACCGAAAATAATCTAAACCAGTCTCCTTTCCAATCTGAACAAGACTTCCCTTGCTTTTTTAGAAATCTCAAAAAGAATTTATTTCATTTTTCATACAGTTTAAAAAGATATTATTGTAAAGAATTAATAACAATATTTTCATACTAAAGCTAAATTATATTTTTCTCCTTTGTTCTTCATTTTTTTAACAATGGAACAGTCTTAATTATTATTACCTATGTGAAACAAAAAGTTTTATAGTTCAGTGTCTGAAACCTATATAATATATAATATAGACCATAAAATGGAACTGAATCAAATTTGGGGCTATCTAATATTGGTATAAATTTGGGGCAATCCAAAATTGGCACTCTATAAATCAATGATAATATTTGGGGCAATCAATTATTGGTTCTATGAAACAATGATACAACATAATTCATTTGTCCAATATCAAGTCCAAATATAATAAAACATTGTGAGCATATATTACTGTATAAAACTAAACAAAGTACCATTTAAAAGTTATGTTTAAAGCAATAAGAAGTTTTGTCCAGTTTGCTAAGAAAATGGAAGTTTAATACACAATTTCACATGTGATCACTTATACTTTTCTTTCAAAACAATGTACAAATATTTAGCACAACTTTGTTGCAAAAAACATATTCATTCACACATTTACAAGTAAAAATGCGCTTCTTTCATTCAAACACAAAAATCTGTTTGTTCATTTTGTTCAAGCCTTCCTCCTTGCTCCGTTTATATTTCCAACACATAAAAGTGTACTTTTCATGCCTTCATCAATGCATGTCCCAATTAATTTCACAGGATACATGTATTCATAAACATTCAGGAGAAATAAATAATTTAAATACATAGATAGTTGGCACACTGGCTGTCTCTGTTCACCTTATGGTTTTTGTGGTGAGTCCGAGGTCGAAGCCCCTTCCGGAGGTTTCACTATTTGAAATGTCACTAAATATTCTGGATATGCCTGGGAATGAAAAAAATAGATTTTGTTTCATACAAATCTTGAAAAAGTCAAAATACTTAAAATCATAATGTCATGAATGCAAATTCTAAATAATACTAGTAGATTATTTGTAGGGTCAATGACAATACTGCACCACTCTTTTCACAATACATTTTTATCTGGTTTTTACGTGGATTGTAGCACATATTTGGTCATATCTCAGTGGTCAATCCACCTTACAGACTTTCCTGGATAATTACCTAGTAAATACTAACTTCTCAGCAAGTGACAAGACTACTAATCTCAATCCTGATAGAATGTTACATACACATCCTAGATAGATTAATTTTTTAATATTTTAAGTTTATGTTCATTCATCCAATAAAAATGTCCGTAACATGGGACATAATGGGCTTAAATTAATTTTTCTAACAACAAAGTAAAAGTTTATTTAACAACGAAATATCTATCAATGTAGACATTTTAAACAAGTAAAACTATGGTTTTTTAAAAAACTTACAAACTAAAAAAGTTTAGGTGTTGAATTATGGTCACCCATGGGTATAATATAAAGTGAAAAAGGATTTTTAATATCAAATTACAATCTTTAATGTCAACAATAATCTTTAATGTCAAGGTCAACAGTAATCTTTGATATCAAGGTTCAGTTACTCACCTGCTCTCCTCTATAGACAACATATTCCGGGTAACAGAGTCCACCATTGCTGGGACGACCTATCACAGAATGATGCCCTGGTGGGGCATGAGCCATACGTATTGCACTAAACTGTAGAAATGACTTCCCTAAACACACACGGCACAGTAACAGTTGTCTGAAATATATCATTATTGACATTAAGTACATACTAAAAATATCTCAAATTCAAAATACTTGTTCTTTAAATAATTCAAACTATTAGTTTACTATTATTGTTTGTTAAATTCAAAAACAGAAAATAATCAAAGCTGCCCAAAAGACAGTGAGACTAACAGTATAAAAGGAGCATAACTACTTTATATGTTAACTCAGAGTTATAAGACCTGTGCCAATTATATTAGATAATCAAAGAGAATAAGTATGTGAAATTTCAACCAATTCCATTCAGCAGTACCAACTTACACATAAATACTCAGGCATCGTAAAATATTTCCTTCTAAATTAGATTCAATATGCAGGCAACATTTTTCTATTCATCCTGCATCAAGTTCTCTTTAATTCTACTTGTAATTACGAGCAGACAAGTGGAATTTTTGATCTCTGAATACTTGACCAAAGGGTGTTTTTGAGGCCGATACTGATGTGGTATTCTTCAAATGGTTGAGCTAAAAATGTCAATTATTTTTATCAACAGCAGGTTATATATAAAATCTGCCAAATGCCAACTGAGTTACAAATCTTCTCCTTAATAAGTGAACAGTTCTGTACAGTCACTGGACAAATAACTTTTTTGCTAATAACCATAAAATTTGCCAAAAGAAAGATAAAATTTTCAGTATACCTCTGACAAATGTAACAAGATCTATCTTTATGTTGAGGACAACCAGTGCCTCCCCCTATACCATACACATACTGGTTAGACTTGGACGAATTCTCAGCAAAATATATCCCTGAAATAATGGAAAAATAGAATAGTTATTCATGTCAACCTACCCTAAAAACAGGAAATATTAAGACTTTGTAAGCATAGAAATAAAGAGAGACACATTTGGACATCACATGCTTTTTTTTGCTTGGGTTTTACGTCACACCAACACAGCATCAGTCATATGTCGCCTTTCCAGCTTTACTGGTGAAGGCTGGTGAAGGAAGAACTCAGGTCCCCTTCTGTACATTATTTCTTACACAAATGAGCAGAACAATAGACGTTCTGAAAGCTAGCTGGATAGCTTCTTCTCATGAAAGAAACCAAGTCCCTGTCAGGATTCAAACCCACTCTGGTGAGAGGCAAGTGGTTTGAAGTCAACAACCTTAACTACTCGGCCACGGAAACCCATTACATGCTTTTTTACTTGCTTTTCTTGACATGCAAATTGACATTTGTATTTCAACCTTATCTCCAGGGGTATTTAATTAGAATTCAATAAACCATAGGCTATATATCACCTTTGTCATCTTAAAATGATCACATTCAAAATAACTCTGAAATCATTTAATTTCTGATTTTTGTTTTGTTTCAATTTTAACATCTGTTTGGTTTTTGTATTTCATTATGTGCAAAGAAATTAACATACTCTTCCTTTTTATAAAAAAATAAATCTTTTACACTGATTTCTACATCATACTATCCACGTTTCTATATAGGACGAGTCCATTCACAGTTAGGTTTCAAGTCACACAAAAAACATAAAGGCCATACGGTGATATACAGGTGTCCCTTGGGGAAATTTCGTGGTTTTCAGACACAAACTGGCACAAGAGTAGAACCACTAACCTATCATAAGCTACCTGGATAGTTTTCTCAAATGAAAGAATCCTAGGTCATCAAGGAATTCAAAGACATGAAAAAATCTTGATGAAAACTTACCAGCACCAAACATTCCTCCAATATAAGCATGCCTCTCATCAAAACCTTTCTGTACAATGGTCTGTAAGAATGGTGAACCATGGAATAATAACCTCTCATTATCGTGACCATGGTTCTCATCGGCAACCTCTTTCTTACGATGCATGTACTTGTCTAATAACCTCTTGTTACGAACTTTCTGGATCTGTAAACACAACAAAATACACCCACAATTAAATTCAATAATTTTAATACAATGGTATATAGACGGTTTTACAATTTCAATTTTCTTTACAGTTTCTGGAACAGTAAATAAAAAAATACACCCAAAATGAAAATTTTGAAAAAAATAATAATTTATTCTTTATAATATTATCCAAGTCCTTCAAGAGGGAAAGAAAAGAACAGATAAATCATACTAAAAATTAAACTACAATTACTATCAGATCTGTCCTTAAAAACTACGGTTTGATGGAAGTGTTCACAGTTTCAAATTAATTATAATCACACTTTGTTTTTAAAGATTGACTTCAGATTTTACAATTAGAAGATTAATAATTTACAGTTTTCATGATTAAGTATCAATAATTAATACAAAATAAACTGCAGGATGCAAAACATTTATCATTAAGACACTTTAATCTGAAGCAATATTGCCGAGGTAACACCCATCCTATAATTTACCAGAAGCAAAACGAAATGGCAATACAATAAGGCAAATTGTAAACTTAATTATTTTGACTTTCACCTGTTCACTCACTTTATAACCTTGAATGGGCATAATGTCACTTTAATAAATATTCCATTGTATTTGTAATTCAATTGTAAATTGTTTTGTTATAATTGCATTGTAAGTCATAAATAAATGGTTTTTTTTTGCTTTTTTTGGGGGGTTGGGTTTTACGTTGCACCAACACAGTTTAAGTTATGATAAAATATTTTATCATGAATTAACCAATCCTTCAATATCTGAAACTACATTCTATTATCCTGTATCAGTATCTAAATATATATAATATGTAATCATAACAAACCTTTTGAATAGTATAAGTCTGGAAGTAACCGCCTGTACGGTCTTTGTGTTCTCTGATAGTACTCTGCATCTGCTCCTCGACAGACTGGTATTCCGAATCTTCCGGTAACAGATCTAATAAAACAGTGCCTTGAGTAGACTGGAACGAATTACCCCCCGGACCTGTAATAAACAAAAACTTCTATAACTACATTTTAGTTCAATAAAAAAAATTTCCTTGATAGAACTTCGCAGTAATTATTTTGTTACATAAATACATTAAAAATTTAGTGGTTTATACCATTTCCCATTTGAGTGGTTTACACAATTTCCCATTTGAGTGGTTTACACAATTTCCCATTTGAGTGGTTTATACAATTTCCCATTTGAGTGGTTTACACAATTTCCAATTAGAGTGGTTTATTCAATTTCCAATTAGAGTGGTTTATTCAATTTCCAATTAGAGTGGTTTATACAATTTCCAATTAGAATGGTTTATACAATTTCCAATTAGAGTGGTTTATTCAATTTCCAATTAGAGTGGTTCATTCAATTTCCAATTTGAGTGGTTTATTCAATTTCCAATTAGAGTGGTTTATACATTTTCCAATTAGAGTGGTTTATACAATTTCCAATTAGAGTGGTTTATTCAATTTCCAATTAGAGTGGTTTATACAATTTCCAATTAGAGTGGTTTACACAATTTCCAATTAGAGTGGTTTATTCAATTTCCAATTAGAGTGGTTTATTCAATTTCCAATTAGAGTGGTTTATACAATTTCCAATTAGAGTGGTTTACACAATTTCCAATTAAAGTGGTTTATACAATTTCCAATTAGAGTGGTTTATACAATTTCCAATTAGAGTGGTTTATACAATTTCCCATCAATTCCCTGTAATTGGTCATTATTCAAAAACACAGCACATTATAATAAAATACATCAAGAAATAACAAATAAAAAATTTAATTATTTTGAATTTCTATATAGATATATGCTTACCAACAATTCTTCTTGGTGTTTTCATATCAGACTCTTCATTGAGATCTGCAAATATAAAACAAACTCTTTGTAAATATGATTACATGAAAGAAAAGGCAATATGTAGTCTATTTCGCTTTTTTTTTTTGGTCATATTTAGAAGTGACACGCTATTGTTTCAAACAAGAAAAAGATTTTTTCTTCTTACTAAAAATTAAATTTGAGAAATAGAATGAAATATAAGTATGAGGGTTTCTTTATGAAATATTTGAAAAGTATGTTCATATAAATTCAAAGAAGTTCACTGAAATAACATTAAATAATTACAAAGAATTTTGTATTTAGTTTGCCGAGTTAAATGATATTTGTTTGATAATACACTGACAATCTGTGCAATAATTAATGTTTGAATGCCAATTTAGACAGCAACACTAAATACAGTAACTAGCTTGTCCTCACTTTTGCTCACTTACTGATGATAGCATTCATTTTTAGATAAGAACTAAACATTAACAGAAAATTAACTTTATAAATTAGCTTATCTCAGGCATAAATTCATAACATTATTATGTTATCATTGCATCTTCTGTTCAAGTTTATCACAGGTTTCAAACCTGAATAGTACCCATGTTAGTTTATAAAAGAATGCTTGAATTGAAAATGATGAAATATTTCAAAACAAAGAGTAAAAGTCAAACTAGGCAACTGCCATAAAACAAGAAAGTTATGGTTTTCTTTCTCTCTTCTTTAGGTGAGTCCAGTATATGGATTCTTTCCAAACAGCAGAAAGCGCCTTCTTTTTCTCAAATTGGTCAATGAAACAGTATAGAACCTGGTCAGACTGCAAAGATGTGTATGCTGGCCATGCTCTATACTGGTGGAAAAGGCTATTCTAATTTTGGTACCAGCATGACAAGCGTTTATGAAAATTCAAAGGGATTTAAACATGCCATGATTAAAGAAACTCCACTAAGGTCCAAAAGCTTAAAAACATAAAATTTGAGATTCTTACACAGATTAACCTGGGCACTTAAAACAGAAAGATAATAAAGAATATACTCAGAAATACATATTTTTGTGCTATTCTTTGCCCAATTTTAGTGTAAAACACCAACACTTTTCAATTTTCAAAAGTAGAATAATAATTCTGGAAAACAAAGTAAGGAAATGAACTGAAATTTTGCACACAAATTATTGGTGTTATCCTACATCAAATGGAATATTAATCTCGAAAAATAATTTCCAAACCCTCATTTCATAAAACCTCAGTGGAGTCCCTTAAAATATCAACATACAGAACTTATCTTAAAGTTTTCAACAATACAAAAACAAATGATCATACCTTTGGTGCATGCTTGAAGGATTACACAGAAAGCAGAAAGTCTAAGCGATACTAAGTCTACTTGACTAAATATGTGATGATATAACAAAATTACTACACACACATGTGACACAATGCAAGAAGCGAAGGTGAAAATGATGATGAAAAAATAGACAGGCTAAAATTCTATCTTTATTTAAGCTGCAGACATTCAAAAACAGACAAACATGAAAACATGATAAAACAAACATGACATAAATCATTTTGTTACTCCTAAAGAAAAGAATATACTCACAACACATGCTAAGTCATTAAAAAAAATTATTTGACCTTGACTTTTTTACAACAAATTTAGAAAACAATTTGGGTTTGAGTTAAATAGTTTTTAACCAAATCATTGCAGAAAGCAAGAACCTAATTTATCATTATTAATTTAAAATAACAAACCTTATAGGGTTTGTTGACTACTGAATTTGTGTGATGAATTTGCTCAGATTTGAATTTGGTATGGTCTGGTTTAAGATATTGTAATATCGTATGGTTTAAGAGATTGCAAATCAAAATATGAAATAAGCCGCGTCACGACAATACCAACATAGTGTGTTTGCGACCAGCATGGATCCAGACCAGCCTGCACATCCGCGCAGTCTGATCAGGATCCATGCTGTTCGCTTATCAACCTTATTACAAGTAGAGAAACTGATAGCGAACAGCATGGATCCTGATCAGACTGCATGGATGCGCAGGCTGGTCTGAATCCATGCTGGTCGCAAACGCACTATGTTGGTTTTGTCATGGCGCGGCTCAAATCTTGGCTACCAACAGTACAGAGCCTGGTCAGACTGATCAGATAGATATACAGGCTGGTCTGGCTCTATACTCAGTGGTGGCAAAAGCTCTAGCAGAGAAAAAGGTAAAACAAAATTATGACTATGGACAATTAAGGTCAAAATTTGCCAATTATATACATTAAACATGTATTTGTAAGGATGGTGAACATTCACAAATATAGAAACAAATAGACAAACAAACAAGCACATAAACAAACAGAATCATGAAAACATAAAAATGAAAACATGATGACAAAATCTTCAGTGGCATAGAGATGAACTTAGAAACACACAAGGTTTTGGTTTTGTTTGGGTTTTTTTTTTAAAAGAAGAATATCCCTCAATTTTAAATATGCAGACTCAAGATGGGCCAAAATATTTCAGGAAAATCAAACAAACTTGAGAAAAACATACAAAGATTTTAAGAAAGTTTAAAGATTTAAGATTCAAGTTATAATTTACATGATTTGTGCAATTTAAAAACTGATTTTGCAGTATTTATCATTTCTATTGCATTACTTATGCAGTAAGGGATATTTTTGCATATTTTAACCACTTTTTTTGGTAATTTACATGGATTGTAAGTGCTGTTTGAAATGTGTAAATTACATTTTTTGTTCTCTTCACAATATATTACTATTAAAAACATTTTCAAAATTTTCATGAAAATTAGCATGAATCAGGAAGTATGCTGCTTTCAGATTATATTTCAACACTACTTAAAATTTGATGATCTAGTCAGCAGAAAACAAAAAATGCACATTCTTCCTATTCTTTTCTGACAATATTGCTATTTATTTCTGACAGAAGAATTGATGCTTCAAATATAATTTTTTTTATTTCTTATTCTTCTACAAATGCTTGAATTGTTTACACAAAATTTCAGACTACTTTCAAAATAATCCCAATGCTGCCCAAGTACAAAAAAGCAACCACTATGAGAATTCAAGAATATGAGTGAATTTATCAAGTTAAATCTAATTTATAATGATCAAATAGTCATGCCCGAAAATAAAAAAAACCCACAAAATCTATCATTGCAATTGTAACAGCGCTCATCTATTATCACTTATAAAAACATGCAAGTTAACTCCCTTGACAGCAATTTACAGAGAACAAATTTTTGGCACCTTTATCTCAAGGAAAACTTAAAACATTCAGAAAATAAAATCAAAGAATGAATTATTGCACAGATGAAGTGTTCAAATTATGTGTTGAATGCACTTTACTATCAATCATATTGTCAATTTAAGTGTTTTTTCTTTACTGTAGCAATCTGACACAGAATTTTAAACAGTAGTTCTTTTGAAAGCCTGGTTATTTCTAGCCACAAATTTTCTAGGTGAGAACACATCTAAAGTTTTCTTTACTAAACTACTGGAAGAGTCTATTACACACGTTGAACACATCATGTTACCTTTGCCTTGCAGGAGTTTCTCGACGCCTTTAAGAATTTTATGCCTGTGTCCGTAGGCGTTAATTCCGATGTCCTTCAGTTCATCGTGTCCCATTTCTACAAGAATGTCCATCGTAATTTGTTCTTGTTCGAAAATGTCTCTTAACTGCTCTAGACCAATATTTCCGAGGAAAGCCGAAACACTCATAGATTCTATAGTTCTCTCCCCTTCTGCCACAGTTCGTTCAATGGCACCATCCCCGCCCTGGGGTGTGGTTGGGGCACCACCCACAGCTCCTGACAGACCATCTGCTGTTCCACTAAAGAGACTGAAAAATATGTAACACTACTTTAATATTTTGTTTTAAAAGAAACTATATAGAAGTAACTGTAACATAGATTATTTTTAAAGTTATCAAGTTCAAAGAAATTTTGACACATTTTAAATTAATAACAGATTTGGTCAGGAAATTATTTCAGTCTTTTATATGCAATGATGATTATCAGGAAATAATTATCTTATGAAAATAATTTTAATGGAGTAAGATGTACATATGATTACTTCCTGCAATTTGCTAACAATTTTAACACTGGAATATGGTTGGCCATGACCAGCAGCAATGGAAAGTGACTAGCCTTTCCCATCAGCCAAACCAGACTGCACATCCATGCATTCTAACTATGTTTGATACTTAACATTTGTATATCGAAATCCATCTTAACTATGAAAAATATGAATGGACTGTTCCAGATTCAAAGCTGGGCATATCAGCAGATTAAGGGTTAAACTTAGTTTAAATCTTTTCTTAAGTGAAAATTTATATCAATAATATATTACCTATTACAGGAAGAACTGGTACTACTACTGTTGCTAGCATTTTTTGAAATGACAGGGACTGAGCTAGGTACCGGCATGGCATCTTGTAACAATGCTCGCACATCGTCCGCCTGAAATGATTATTTCATCACATTAAAATGATTTTTTTAGTTTTTACTATTTCAGTTAAATATGAACTAAATGTTTACAATAAAATTTAAATGAAAAGAAACATTCAATGACTTTAAGATACTGAATCTCTGGCTCATTTTCAAAACAAAATTTTTAGTTTTTAAGTATGAATTTTGAAAGAATTTCTACCAACACATGTCTGACTAATGGTGTAATATATGTAAGAATGAATACAACGATACATACTGTTGTGAGATCTAGTGGTGTTTGACCCTCCTGGTTCTTCATGGTAGGATCTGCCCCATGTGCCAGCTGTGAACAATGAAATTTAACCATTTATTATCATGCCATATCATATAATCCTTCATTTTGTTACAGTTAACTTTATATTATACTAACCACCATAATTTAATGAAATGTCAAATGTACATGTACATGACTGATCATATAGCAACACAAAGGAAGAGAATTCCTTACATAAGATATTGATCCCTTTTAAGGGTTCAACCTTAAGTGACAAATTGTACAAAATTTTAATGTGAATTGATGCTGCATTTATAATCTTAACATCAGTCATGCTTATATTCACAAATGAGAGGTTAAATATATATGTCTAAACTAGCAATTGCAGAAGAAAATGTTTATGAATGGAAGGGTAATGCATCTTTCTTTATACATAATATTCTGAAGATGCAAAAGCATGCATATATGTTCCGAGCCAGCCATATTTTCTGCATCCTAATAAATCGACACTTGACAGTTATGGTTTGATAATAAAATTACTGAGCCCATCATTGCATCAAGCTGTCTTTACATTGCACCGACTCATGCAATTTAAAAATGTACAACAGCAGCCAATAGTCATTTCAATCCATTTTTGATGCATATTCTCTTCTTCTTTAATGCATCCTAAATATGCAGTAACAATGCAAGAATTTCTACCAATTTTCATATACTGTCACAAAAGATCAAAGTTGATAACACAGAGAGCAACTTCTTAGAATCACTTGTTCACAGAAAACATTATTATCAACTTACCAAGAGAGCACAAAGCTGAGTTCTTCCTTTCTGAGAGGCCTCGTGTAATGGTGTAAAACCCCATCTATCTACTGCGTTAACACTTGTGTTATATTTGATTAACAATGCAGCTATATCTAAATGCTGAAATATGACAAAAAAAGAAAGGTTTTAATATCTCAATTTACATTTATAGATCATTTTCAAGAACAAGAGCTGTCGGTAGGACAGCAACGCTCGACTATTCTTAGTGCTTGATAGTAAAAAAAATGCTTGATACAGTTACCTCCTCCTGTTTACAGGTTGGGGTCATGATGGTGAACAAGTGTGCAAAGTTTCAAAGCCATATGTCAATGGACTTTGCAAATATTTGAACTATTACAAAAACTTTAACGTAAATTCTAAGTCGAAAAAGGGGCATAATTCTGTCAAAATGCTTGATAGAGTTACCTCCTCCTGTTTACAGGTTGGGGTCATGATGTTGAACAAGTGTGCAAAGTTTCAAAGCCATATGTCAATGGACTTTGAAAATATTTGAACTATTACAAAAACTTTAACGTAAATTCTAAGTCGAAAAAGGGGCATAATTCTGTCAAAATGCTTGATACAGTTACTCCTCCTCTTGTCTACAGGTTGGGGTCATGATGGTGAACAAGTGTGCAAAGTTTCAAAGCCATATGTCAATGGACTTTGAAAATATTTGAACTATTACAAAAACTTTAACGTAAATTCTAAGTCGAAAAAGGGGCATAATTCTGTCAAAATGCTTGATAGAGTTACCTCCTCCTGTCTACAGGTTGGGGTCATGATGGTGAACAAGTGTGCAAAGTTTCAAAGCCATATGTCTATGGACTTTGAAAATATTTGAACTATTACAAAAACTTTAACGTAAATTCTAAGTCGAAAAAGGGGCATAATTCTGTCAAAATGCTTGATAGAGTTACCTCCTCCTGTTTACAGGTTGGGGTCATGATGGTTGAAATCAAGTGTGCAAAGTTTTCAAAAGCCATATGTCAATGGACTTTGAAAATATTTGAACTATTACAAAAACTTTAACGTAAATTCTAAGTCGAAAAAGGGACATAATTCTGTCAAATGCTTGATAGAGTTACCTCCTCTTGTCTAACAGGTTGGGGTCATGAATGGTGAACAAGTGTGCAAAGTTTCAAAGCCATATGTCAATGGACTTTGAAAAATATTTGAACTATTACAAAAACTTTAACGTAAATTCTAAGTCGAAAAAAGGGGCATAATTCTGTCAAAATGCTTGATAGAGTTACCTCCTCCTGTCTACAGGTTGGGGTCATGATGGTGAACAAGTGTGCAAAGTTTCAAAGCCATATGTCTATGGACTTTGAAAATATTTGAACTATTACAAAAACTTTAACATAAGTGGTTACGCCGACGCTCGGGTGACTGCAATAGCTCTACTTATTCTTATCGAATAGTCGAGCTAAAAATCAAAGTATTTTTGTCAAGTAACAATAACTGTATATTCAATTTCACACACATTCTTTAAAAACTCGCATTTTTAAAACAACCCAATGCTCAAAACTTATGATAAAATTCCACAAATTGCTATTTCATAGGAAATGACTTTTTAAGAGAAATAATTGGGAGGTAAAAAAAAAAAATTTTTTTTACCTCACTCTGGTGGGTTTTTTTTTATTTTCTTTTTTTTTTCTGGGGTGGGGGGGGGGTGGAGGGGGTATTGTATACATGTTTAAGAACACAATGCAGAACTAGCTAAATTACAAAAATTTATGTTTTTTAAAGTCATACAATCCAATTACCACCTTCTATAAATTTCTAACACTGCCAACATTTTCGAAAATTAAATTGTTATTAAATTTCCTTAAACATTAACTATTTAATATCAAATTGATAAATTTTAATCTCAACAGTAAAATTAGTTAACATCCAATTTGATCATTTTAATCCATTTTTTCCTACACAATGTCAGGGTTTAGATTTTACAAATTTTCCACTTACCCCATAGGAGGAGGCATTATGTAATGGTATGAGTCCACCTTTATCCTGTACATTGACATCAGCACCATTCTCTAACAGAAACTCTGCTACCTCCACATTATTGTAGCCAGCTGCAAAAAAAACAAGCAATTATCATAGTATTGCAAGCAATCCATAAGTCCCCTACCGGTAAGAGCCCATTTTTTTTAGCAACATTCTGAAGGGCCATTGGCCATTCACGTTTTCACTTCCTATTTAAATAAATTTGTTGAAAAAGTTCTCTAAAAGTGATCACAAGAAACAGTTTTTATGTACAGACAGACAGACGGACGGAAGGACACTCTAAAGTTATTTTTAAAACATCCGTTATCAAAATATAACATCTTTAAATCCTATCATGATTAAAGAAGTTGGAGTAAAAATTACCAATTTCTCAAAAAAAAAGTCTAAGTTCAAATGGGGCATAATTCTGGATATAATCTTGCTAGAGTATTGAATATTCACAAATGTTGAGTGATAATAAGAAACATTTATATGAAGTTTGAAGTAGATACATTCAGAAAAAGAAGTTATTAAAAAAACAATGTTTTTTTCATGAAAATTTTATGTTCAAGGGAGGTAATTCTGATAAATTTTGTGCTAGAGTTGTAAACTTTGTCACATATGATGTGGTTGATGACAAGCAACTTATATTTAAAGTTTGAAGAAAATACCTTAAGAAATAAAGTACTTATAGTGAAAAAACTTAAAAACTAGAATCAGAAATTTTGAAATTCAGTCTATTTGTTGCCATAGCAACCAGTATTTTCAACATAGGAAGATAAGAAAAGGATGTGCATAACGTCCATACTGCCATCTACCCATATGTCAAGTTTCATAAAAATATTTTCAGTACTTTTTGCGTTATCACTGGATCCAGGTTATGTGTAAAATTTGCCATATTTTCAGTCTATTTGTTGCCATAGCAACCAGAATTTTCAACATAGGAAGAAAAGAAAAAGATGTGCATAATCTCCATACTGCCATCTATCCATATATTAAGTTTCATAAAAAAATTTTCAGTACTTTTTGCATTATCGCGGGATCCAGGTTATGTGTAAAATTTGCCATATTTTCAGTCTATTTGTTGCCATAGCAACCAGAATTTTCAACATAGGAAGAAAAGAAAAAGACGTGCATAATCTCCATACTGCCATCTATCCATATATCAAGTTTCATTAAAATATTTTCAGTACTTTTTGCGTTATCACTGGATCCAGGTTATGTGTAAAATTTGCCATATTTTCAGTCTATTTGTTGCCATAGCAACCAGAATTTTCAACATAGGAAGAAAAGAAAAACATGTGCATAATCTCCATACTGCCATCTATCCATATATTAAGTTTCATAAAAAAATTTTCAGTACTTTTTGCATTATCGCGGGATCCAGGTTATGTGTAAAATTTGCCATATTTTCAGTCTATTTGTTGCCATAGCAACCAGAATTTTCAACATAGGAAGAAAAGAAAAAGACGTGCATAATCTCCATACTGCCATCTATCCATATATCAAGTTTCATTAAAATATTTTCAGTACTTTTTGCGTTATTGCGGGATCCAGTTTTGTGGACGGACGGACTGACGGACGGACAGACGGACGGACTGACGGAAGGACGGACGGACAGACGGACGGAGGGTAAACCTAAAGTCCCCTCCGGTAAACCGGTAGGGGACTAATAATAATAAATGATGTAAACATGGTATACCTAGGGCAAGAAGCTTCAAAATTACAATTTACACAAGTTGTTGTATTAACCTTTCTTCGTCTGCTGGAACCTAAAGTGAGAAACCTTTCCTACCAAGATAGAAACACGCCGGCCTACACATATGTGCAGTCTGACCAGGCTCTATACTGTAAACTTACATAAAATGATAATAGACTGTTCCAACATTCAGAGCAACATGTTAAGGAGTATTAACCACACACTTTGCAATGACAGATTACTTTTGCCTACAGTGTTTGACAGCTTGTAACATTACCACTAGAATAGATATGAATTTTTTCACATATAAATATTACAACACATAAAGCTTCTGTTGATTTTTATTATTACAACAACAAACAAGGCAAGACCATATCAACAGTCTCAAATTGCCGTGTAACACTTGTGTAAGTGATATAAATAAGTTTAGTTGAATTACAACAACAAACCTGCAAGATGTAGGGGTGTAGAATTTCTGCCTTGTGTGTCCCGACAATTGATATTTTCAGGGGTGGCTAATTTCTGCACTCGAGCAAGGTTACCTTTCTTAGCCGCTTCCAGGAGAGCTGCATCACCTGTGAAATACAGCAAAAAAATATGTTTTATCATTATTTATGACGCATTCCAGCAAACTACTGGTGGAAAAACTATGCAATATTTCGGGCAGAAACAACCAGTGTAAAATCATCAACTTTCCATTACCTAAATAGTAATATCCCTTACAAAGTCATTCTGGGAGCTAAAGCATAGCAGAGGGAAAGTGGCTGAGTCAATGTTGCCCCCTTTTAAGTCTTGTTTCTTACTAAAAATAAAGTTTAATGTATATAGGAGAGTAAAACATTACCTCTGAGAAGATCTGCAACATCCTGATCCCCTTCCTTCACCAGATCTAATGGTGTGTTACCATCTCTGTTCTTCTTGTTAGCATCTGCCCCGTGCTATAATATAATACAAATATACATAAATATAATACAAACTCATTTACTTAATCTGAAACAAGATATAAAGTTTATTTCACTTTTATAATGAGCTAATATTTACTCATTATCCTGTCCTTATTTTTTGTGATTAATTAGTTAGTGGTATACATTAATAACTGTAGCTTTACGGAGTATTTTCAGCTTTGCCGGTGGACTACATCCACATACACACATCAAAACTACCCACTCTCTGTAAGCCATCTATCTTGTCTTTTCACATGAAAGGAATCAATGACTTATCAATTTGAAAACACAATAGTTACAAATCATTTTAATAATTCTAAATTAATATTCAACAATTTAAGCAAAATATTAAACAATTTACAACTTAAAACATACTGAAAGCGAAGTTGAAATCTTGCTAAAATTCACTGAACTTTCCTTCTATTCCTGTTACAAATTCCATTATTGAACAAAATTCTCAGAGCTACATAATGTTTCACATGTGCAAATAAATAAAAGTTCTGGTAAAAACATTATCAAAATATAAGTTATGAATAATGATAATACGAACCTTAAGCAAGAGTTTACATATTTCAAATTTGCCTTTGGCAGCTGCTTCGTGTAAAGGTGTAAACTTCCAAAGGTCAGCCACATTCACACAAGCTCCATGCTGCAATATAAATATGTTAATGATTGAATGCCAAACTATTTTTACACAACATTTTAAATAATTTTTTAACCCTTAATCTGCTGAATTTATTTAATGAACCTGTCTTGCTTACATTTTTAGAACTTTTATTATCAATTCTAGGGTTATCAAGATGATAGTCAGCCAAAAGTAAAGAGGCTGGACAGACTGCATGGATGCAGTAAGTTAATTTTTTTTCAAGTTGTAAGACATAAAATGAGGATATTTAAATGTACAAAGAAAACTACCATAAGCTTGATGGCAAAAAAATATGTTTCCCACTACATACTTCTAAAGTTATTTAACAAATTGTTCATGATTATATTTCTAGTATACAATACCTTTATCAATAACTCTGTTACTTCATAATGTCCGTATGAGCAGGCATTGTGAAGAGGTACCAATCCTCTGTAAATAGATAAACATTTTTTACATCAATGTATACAATAAGAAATATTTTAGTCATATTTGACTTCACATCATATAGATATCTTTTTAGGCCAAGTAACTTTTCTGGCATAGGAATATCACCCTCTCCCTTTCCCTCACAAAAAATCTTGGGCAATATATCAGACTTGAACAAGCATCTGTAGAACCTTCCAAAGTCCGTTAATTGGCTGGAAAATTTCCTACTTACTAACATTGTAATATCTGCACAAAAAAAAACAGTTTGTATTATAATGATGTCTGATAAATCAAATGATCATATAATCAATTCAATGCTATGCTATTTTAACCCCAGCAATTTTACATTAATTTCTGTGTTTTATCTAAGACCGATAACATCTTAAAACTGAATTTTCATTAAACAAATAGCTAGATGGAAAAATAAATTAAATGTTTAACATATCTCAAACTTGTCTTTGATCAGCTCACATACCACGCATTTATTGAATATGTTTTATTTCGAGGAGAAGAGATCATTTTCACTTATCACTTCAAGAAATAAATTCAAAATTAGACACAAGGGAGACAACCTACCCTTTATCTTTAGCATGCACATCAGCACCATGTTGTAACAAATATTCTACGACCGCTACTCTGTTATAGCCGGCTGCGAAATGTAGGGGTGTAGAATGTCTCCCGTCAAGGTCTCGACAATTTACAGCATGAGGATGTGTTGTTATCAATTTCTGCAAACAGATAAGCATGATGTTACTTACAGTTATTACTTTAATTCTAATCAAATATCAAATTTTACAACCTTTGGAGAGTTTCTGTGACAATTCAAATTGAAATTATCTGATTTTTTTTTTTGCAAAAAAAATAAAATAAATATTTTTTTTGCCAAAAATCAACTAAAACCTAGCAATAATTTTTTTAGGTGATATCACCAGGTAGATGTATCAATGCTTATGCAAAATAATCAAAATTTAACTATCTTTACATCTTTTATCTTAACAAATCACTCAAAGAAAAAGATATATTACTGATATTATTCCATTGAAAAGAAATGTTTTATAGCTCTAGAGGTCAACTGTTAAGTTTATAGGCTTATTATGGTTTGTACATTAACCTAAGATAGTCTAAGAGTAAAACATTACCTTAACTACTTCCATGTCCCCAGCTTTGGCTGCCTCCAGTAACTGAAGATCTATATCTGTACCAACCTGTGGTGCTGGGTCATCTGTAATTAATACAATAGTTTGTTTTATAAAATCTTATTTAAAACATCAATCATAACTTTAACATTTATTTTTATCAATTAAATGCCTCAACATTTTTCAAGTGCATGAATCAATCTGTTAGCTCTATGTATATGAGACATCTATAATACAGAATGTTTGTAACATTATTATTCATTGGATAATCGTGACATTATATAAACGGCTGAATTTGATTTATGAAGTAATTTCATATTTTTCTAATAAAGGAAGTTTGCATTATTATAAAATTATTATAAGGCATCTTAATAGGTTATATAGACAGTAATTTGCCATATATCCGGAGCCATTACCATTTTTACAGGCCTATATAACATGTTACAAATCTTTTATAAATAATACTATACAAGCTGATAGGCATAATCATAGAAGTTACATTATCAATTAAACATTACTTTATGCTGACTGTGATAAAATCTTGAAGTCTATATGAACCAACAGGGCTTCCGTTAAAGGAAGTTTGGGAGTCATTTACTCCTTGATTTTGGCATGTGACTTCCAACCCTTCTTTACCTATATAATGTGACTTCCAATATCAGATATTTTGCAGTCTCTGACTTCCAAATTTTGAAACTTAATGGAAGCCCTGAACCACTCTTGAGTCTGTGTCTTTGTGTCGGGAAATTAGCCACTAATGGTGTTAAATGAGACAACATGTTCTCAAACTCAAGTACCACTCAAAACCTGGCTTCAGAAGCAGATACATCAAAAGTCTGTTCACCTCTCCCCTTCAGACAACACATAAATTTAGACAACACATAAGACAGGGTAAATGACAAGGAATCGTGTTTTGGATTACAGTAATCAGTATCCACATAAATGCTTGATCTTGTGGTTAACATTATTCAGTATCAACACAAGTGCCTGATACCTCAGATTACAACCAAGATGACAGATAATAGAACAAGTGCTTGATATAGGCAATCTCAGATTCAAAACCAAAATAACAGAATGATAAGTAAATACTCACCTTGTAACAGTTTCTGTATATTTTCTGTACCAAGTTCTGCGGCGGTGTAACCCTGTAATGATCGTAATGTAGTGTCTACACTGTACTGCATCAACAATCTACATGCCTGAATGTTACCTTGCTGTGCTACACGATGTAACGCTGTCTGTCCTAGGCTGTCTAGACCATTTACCTACAATCATATGTATATATATTACATTATAGTAATGCAAGTTTGTAACGTCGAATTTCATTGGACAATCAAAGTGTGTATATTATTCATATACACAGCTGATGCTCATTTATTATCAAATATTTTTTTTTATTTATGTAGTATTGTAAAATATGGTGTTAAGACCTAACAGATTATAAATATTATGTAATACGAACTTTACAAGTAAAAGTCAAAAGGAATTTTTTTGAACTGTATTCATTGCTAAAAGCCATGACAAAACAAATTCTTTCTGGAAAGTATATTAAAGCCTAACAACTACGAATATTTTGCATCAAAGACAAATGGTTACTTACTTTAGCACCTTGTTTGAGAAGGACATCCATTACATCATAGTGGGCTTTATCAGCAGCTATATGTAGAGGGGTTAAATACCTATAATATAAATAATACTTGTTTTATTCATTGAATATGTAAGTCATTATTAAAATACAAATGAAAAAAGATGTGTTTCTTATAAATGTTACACTGCATTTTGTAACATAGCTTTTCACCTAACAATTATGATGTGCACTTTGTGATGTCTATATTCAATTTTATGAAATTACATTAACAAGATCTCTCTGCAGGTTTTTCACGGTGCTGGTATAATAAAATAAAAGCAACATATGAAAGGGGGCATAACTTTGCACAAAATAATTTGAGGACTATCTGCCCTTTGAAACAGCTTCTATTTATGACAATAATTTATAAACATGTTTATCAAATTGAAATGAATAGCTTTAATAGTTTCTGAGAAAATGGACCTTTACGAAGTTAACCAATGCAAAAAAAAGGGCTCAACTTCTTTTACTATGAAAAGCTGTTGTCAAAAAATGAAAGAAGTTTACTTTTCCTTTCAATAGCTATTTTTTGGTAAGGTTTTTAAAAAAAAAACCTTAAAAAAGTTTTCTAAACAACTAATGAATCACTTATAAATGGAAAATATCTTGAAAAATCCCCACTCACTCTTTATTTTTTTCGTTGAGATTTGCTCCTTTACGAACAAGGGCATCAACAACTTGTTTTCTCTTCGGGAATGGTGATGCCGCAGCACAGTGCTGTAATGTAAGAATATGCTGATTAATGTAATGACCTTCATTAACATGTAAACACAGTACATATGACTGTGTTCTACTATGCTAACTTAAAAAATACAATTTTAATTTAAGGATGTTTTTGGGAGTTTTTATAATGACATATAGGGAGACTTAAAACTGTTCAATAGAATTTCTTTAAACCTGACATGTTGAATATGATAACAGAAATATTTTGAGTGAAAAAAAAGTTTGGTATCAAAGATCTCACTTTTGAGACTTGAATCTACCTATGTTGATATTAATTTAAATTCAAAATGGTAATTACCTTAGCAAAGTAAAAAAACTTAACATAATAATCTTTTAAATATTACCAGCTACAAGAAATGCGGCAATCAACATTAATATTGGGCAAAATCATTTTTTTTTCTGTTGTGAAAGGCTTGAAATAAATAAAACAGCTTACCAAAGCAGTATCCCCAGTATATGGATGCTTGAAGGAGACAACTTCAAGATATTTTTTCGTTCTTCCAAGATCCGTTTGTCGAGCCCCCTCCAATAAAGAATGACCCTTGAACTCATCTGAAATTAGATAATTCAGGGTATAATAATAATAGTTCCAGTTTGATTCTTTTGAAGCACAACTCAAAAGTCAAATATTATATAAGAAAGTGCATGTACCTTATGATTATTATCAATGAAATTCATACGTAATTAAATGTTGTTTTTTTTTGTATCTAGGTAGGAATCATGTGGTTTTATATTTGTAAGGATTACCTATATGATGTAGATGATACTGATCTGGATTTATGCACTCAGATATTTAGCAAATTTTAATCTTAATTGGTTGAGTTAGATCACAGAAGAGATACACTGCAACTTTTCAAACTCTAAGCTACATAGGTCCCTCATGTGAAAGAATTCACACTTTGTTGCTTAAACTTTAAAGGCCAGGTTATTTACAAAGTCCAGCTGTATATGCTTTTTTTTTGTTTTTTTTGTTTTGGGTTTTACGTCACATCGACACGGTATAGGTCATATCGCGATGTTCCAGCTTTACTGGTGGAGGAAGACCTCAGGTGCCCTTCCGTGCATTATTTCAGGCACAAACGGGCACCTGAGTAGAACCACGGACGTTCCGTAAGCTAGCTGGATAGCTTCCTCACATGAAAGAATCCAAAGTCCCTGTAGGGATTCGAACCCACAGCTGTGAGGGGCAAGTGGTTTGAAGTCAACGACCTTAACCACTCGGCCAGGGACGCCCCCTGTATATGCTATATCTGATATTCCTATAGTTTTCTCAGAAAAAGTGTGATATTAACTATTCATCTGAACTCATTCAGGTTGATTCTTTGTTTTTTATGCCAATTTCAACAAATAGATGGTCTTATTTTTCTTGAAAACTAACCAGTGGTTTTATTTTTTTTTTGGTAACTAACCAGTGGTCTTATTTTTTTTGGTAACTAATCAGGAACATGCAATCTCCTCGCAAGTGACCAACTACTTATCCCACATGATATATGAATCAGAAGTGAGAGACAAATAACTATATAGCCTTAATGTCAAGTTTCGCCTTGCTCAACGATCCAACCAGCAACCTCTGTACTATATATCAGATGCTCTACCTGTTGCACTAAGCCAACAGATCATGAGACAATGAAGATTACAATAAAAAGATTTTAAAGACTTTAAATGATTCAGTCTGACTCAAGCTTATTCTATTAAAGATTATATGAGCCGCGCCATGACAAAAACAACATAATGCGTTTGCGACCAGCATGGATCCAGACCAGCCTGCGCATCCGCGCAGTCTGAACAGGATCCATGCTGTTCGCTTACCAAACCTATTGCAAGTAATGAAACTGATAGCCAACAGCATGGATCCTGATCAGACTGCACGGATGCACAGGCTGGTCTGGATCCATGCTGGTCGCAAACGCATTACAATGGTTTTGTCATGGCGTGGCTCATATATATTGTGTATAGGCATATTCATGACAAATAGACATGAACTAACATGAGGAAGTTATATCTCATACTTACAATGTATTCTCTCCATCAATTCTCTAGTTGGTGCTGAATCTAGCGCACTCTTTGAGTGACAGTTGACTAGGGTGGGATCAGCTCCGTGGGCCAGTAACAATGAACAAACTTCTATACGTGACTTAGATGCTGCTTCATGCAGCGGCGTAAACTGCCACAGATCCATGGCATTTACATTTGCTCCAGCCTTAAAAGTCAAAGAAAAAAATCATGATTTTCAAAATGTGAAATTGTAAATAATAGACTATTCTCATTTAAATTGGACATTACAACAATACAGAAAATGACCTATGACTAAGTTCATCTTCAAACATAAAAAATACATTATAAATATGCATGGAGTTTCCAAGCTAGTGACATCTGCTCACCAATGCAAGTATGATTTTGTATCTCAATTATTAAATATAAACAAAACGAGTGGTGATCACAGGGTACTCTTAGTCTAACTCACAACACTTAATATTAAGGGGTGAGACACTTTTTTTCCAAAATGAAAGGTGGACAAGTCCATTTAAGAAATCCAGCTGGATAATGGCATAACAATAGAAAATGAAGTTTCATGTCTAAACCAAATTCAGCATTGACTGAAAAAAAATCTAATAAAATTCAAAGCAGAGGAAGCCATGGTACCAATTTAATTTATAGTAATGATATATGATACTTTGCATTGAAAAGTGAACTTCAGTAGTTCTTCATAGAACATTTTGAATACAGTATTTTATATAAATCAACTTTACGTTTGTTCTTTATAGAACGGATTTGATATTATTTTATATAATAGAGGTCAGCCAGTTGCACCTGGTAAGATATGTTTTACTTTAAATTACTTAAAATAAATGTAATAAAATGTATGAATTAAATAGTTGGAATTATTTAAAATATGAAATGTTGAAATGATTTTGATATTGAATTTGTATTTTAATTTGTGTTTTGTATTTCATGTATTTATAATTGTTTATTCATTTTATAGGTTTCATTTACACTTCATCAAAATAAATATTGAACACCCAGTCAGAGTTGGTCATGAATTTTACCCAAACCATACTCTACACTGATATATATAAGAGAATGGTTTATACCTTTAACAACATTTCTGTAACTTCAAAATGACCATATGAACAAGCATTGTGTAGAGGAACCAGTCCACTGTAAAATAAAACAATATAATATTCTGTTAAGAAAATGAACATAGGAATTGCCAGTTAACTATAAATAAACATTTTCACTAATTAAACCATATTAGATTTTGTTGAACACATAATCATTGGCACCATTATTACAAGGTGAGCTAGAAATGTTTCCAAAAAATCTTTAAGAATTAGTCCTATAATCATAAGACCTTTATTTTTCTTTGTTTTAGACAACTGTGTTAAACACACATAAAAATTGATAAATATAATTCTGTCTTTGTTAAGCTGTAGAACTACTATAATGATGGTATAAATATAATGTTGGATCTCCAGGAAATATGAAGTTTTTCTTTTGGTAGGGTTTAATGTCGCACCAACACAGTATAGGTCATATGGCGACTTTCCAGCTTTTCTGGTGGTGGAAGACCTCAGGTGCCCCTTTGTATGTTATTTCAGGCACAAACGGACACCTGAATAGAACCACAGACGTTCTCACATGTAGAATCAAAAATATTAATATAGCATACCCTTTATCTTTTGCATGTACATCAGCGCCATGCTGTAAGAGTAACTGTACTATCCGTGTTCTATTGTAGCCTGCTGCCAGGTGTAATGGTGTTGACTGTAATATATAATATATTGAATGGTACAAAAATACAAAACATTACAATAGGGTACTGAATAGTTAAGACTATACACTGATTTTAACTTCATGGTGAACAATTGTTCACAATAGCAATAAATAAGTCAACATGATGCGCTTATTTTTAAAGTTGTAACTGTAAAAGTTTGTTTATACCCCCAGAGTAGCTGGGAAAACCCAAACTATTTTTAATCTAGGGGAGGTATATTAACTTGATATATATTTTTTACATAGATTAATAATATATTGATGCTCTAGTGAAGTTATATTCAGTCACGATACGAATCTAATATTAATGTTTGATATGCTGTGAAGTCATATATGAACAAGCAATTTATTACACTCTTTGCTTACATATTTTCTAAGATTTCAGAGATAAAAACGCTTACACTAGATGACTAAAAGACAGATTTGCTAAAACAATTTACCTTTCTACCATCACTAGCATGACAGTTAACATTTAGTGGTGTGAGTAGGGACATTAACTTCTCCTCATTTCCACTCCGGGCGGCCTCCAATAGTTCATCTTTCTTGTACTCTCCTACAAAACGAAACAAATGTCAAAAGTATTACAAATAAATTCAAGGTCAGTTACTTATTGTTGTCTTGAACTTCTCGCCAAGAATTGCTGAATGATTCTGATTTGTTATTATTATAATATTAACACTATGAAAGACCTTTAAACAACTTATGTCTATTAAATCATAACACCAAGGTGTTAGCCCCAAGATATCTTGTACCAAATCATTTTTTTTTATTGCAAGTCGTAGAAAGTTGTAGAATTATCAATAAATATATTTAAACTAATCATCAAATAATTGACTCTTAAAATAACACCTTAGTTGAGGTGACAAACAACAATAACTTCGTATACACAAACAATGGCTATTTAATGCATGATAGTCATTACTTTTGAATAATTCTTACCATTTAGCACTGCCTTTGCCGATGGATCAGCAAGGTCTAATGCCGTCTTTCCATCAGTGTTGCGAATATTTGGGTCACCGCCTTGCTGTAGTAAAACTGAAGAAACAAGTGTATTATTAGGATTATCTGGGACTGCACTAGTACAAATACTAAGAGGGTCACTTAAATGTGTAGTAACTGTCACTTCGCTTGGGTGAATACTCGACATATCACTTAAATGTCTTGGTGTAGAGTCCAATGGTGTTATTGTGGACAGGTCATGACCTATATCCCGCTCAGGGTATATGGATGAAAGTTCAGCCCAATCTATATCGGATCTTACATTTTTATTTTCTTTAATTTGTGACTGTTTTGTACAAGTAGAGGTCATCCCAAACTTTGGTAAACTTTTCTTGAGCGATGGGTCATATTTATTTATCACAGGTATAGTCGGTTCATAATACTGTTTATCACGTTTGGACCGATAATCATTTTTTTGTTTCTCTTTTGGGTAAATGGAAGACAGCTCTTCCCAATATTTGGACTTTTTAAGTTCATAGGAATATGTCTTCTTTTTTCCGTGAATACTGGTTGTACATACAGAAGATGTATCCCATTCAATGGATCTTCTACGTCGCCGTTTATCGTGTTTCTCAGGCTTCACTGGCGTTGGTTCGGGGTATATTGTAAACACCTCCCAATCTTCACCCCGCTTCCTCCTATATTCACGCTTAGAGAAATTTCTCGATGATACTTCAGAAACGTCCCATTCCGAACAAGACGATGGGTAGAGATTGGAACCCTGGGAATCCAGATACAGCTGCTGGACGGATCGAGTATTATGAGTGTACTCAAATTCTGAACTCAAGTCACGCTGCAACTCGATCGACTTCTGCCGTTCTGCACGACGCATCCTTCTTAAATGTTTACGCACCTCTGCATGTCTATTTGACTCGTCAACTGGTGAAATATTAACTGGACACAAAGAGAACTGTTCATATGACTCACATGATCTGTATCTGTCAGAATGAAAGTTATTTGAACATTCTAAAGAAGAAGTTGATTCATTTTCTTTGCTTTCATATTCGGAATAAGCTAGACGACGCGATGATTTAGGTCGATACTGGGATGTATCCCATGTAGCACAATGTCCACCAACGGCATCTGGTCTAAATCTCATCTTGTTTGCATGTTACACCATTAATATCAGATAAACAAATAAATATATTATCTAGTAATCACAGACAACAAATTTAATCTCTGCACACAATGTAAACACAGACTTCTGATTATATCAATATACAATCACACTTCTGTTGTATAGATATTACAGAATATCCCTCTTTTCAAAAGCTTCAGTAGGCAGTAAGTACATCTAAAACTCAATTTTCGTCAGAAATATCACCGTACATGTCCACATGAATGTCTGGGTAAATTTGCAGGCAATAGATAAACACAAGACACAATTCTATCACAAGAATAGAGAAACTAATCAGTCCAAACATTGTATTACTAAAGTAAAATCTCTAAAAAAGTAAATTTACAGTTACACACGTTCATAAATTAAAATTCCAATAAAACTGTACATCCAGTAAAACTGTGTACGAGTTTAAAACTTGCTTCTTAAAACTCCAAAAATAAAATTCTAAAACTTAGTAAAAGTGAACTTCCACTGGATCAGGTAAATTTGTTCTTCTGTTAAAAAGCAGATAAAAGACCTTCCTTGTCTTTAAAAGATTACATAATAAAGTATTCTAAAACTGTAAAATATTCTGAAATATCCTTCTCAACACATTTTTAAAGTTGCTGTTTTTCACAGTTTATATGAACTGTGCACATTTATTTTCCTGGTATAAACATCCACTCATCACATAATGTGTTAACAGTTAACTAGTCAGTATGGTCAGTGTAATGGTTACTCAGCAGGGTGAAATATAATTTCCTTCTTTCTACCTCCTGCATCCACAGGTCAACACAGGTCAAATCTACACTGACCATTCAAATATCTCAACATATCTCTACTCAACTGTGACAGTAATTCTTTGTTCACCCATACAATATTTTAAATGTCACTCATCAACGATTTCATAGGAAATAGAGGTATTTTTTTCTGGCAATTAAAGGTATTTAAAAACTAGTAAACCTTCAGGGGATTATAGATAATAAAACCTTGACTACCTGCTTTCATTTGATAAGCCTTATGATAAGGGGCCCTAAAGTGGGGATGTTTATCACCAGTGACAGATGTTGTTAATTTTCAATGTCAATAACTTTTAATGGTCCTTTTGACAACCCCTTCATTGAGCCCCCTATCAGGTAATATCAACACTAATTCCTCTTCTTTGGTAAACTGTCAATGGAGAACAATCAGAGGCTAACAATAGGGTTACATTAACCATTAAAGTCACTTATAGGGGCAAGGTGACAGGGGCACCTGAAGGGGTCTGAGCTGATAAAATCAGCTGTCAAATGTACAATATGACAGTATCAATGCAACATTTAATACTTGATTAGTGAAAAAATGGCCATAAATTTAAGACATATATGTGACCGACATATACTACATTTTTAGAAAGTTTATGAAATATGTAGAGAAGAGTACACAACTGTCTGTAATGAATGTCCATAAATTTTATTTGACAGGTTAATTTCATACAGTCCTTGTAATGGAAAGTTTCCAAAGAAAAGGGCACTCCTTCCTGATGTAACAATAATGCATAATAATGATTAATATTCCTGATTAATAAATGATGATATGACACAATATTTGAATATAAGTAAATGTATTATGAGGACATTAAACAAGCTGCAGCAGGAAAGAAATACTGCCATTCTGTCATGAATAAGTTAAGCAATTGTACATATTCATTTTATGAATATGGTTTTTTTTAACATAATAATTGTACAAAATAATTTCTACACCAGATGAACTATAACTTGCCAGTTGCCCCCTTTCCCCAACTTCCCTGCCATTCAATTAAACTTCACCATGGTTTAATTTTTTTATTACAACATACATTGCAAATATTATACAAGTATTTCAATAGCATCTTGTATATAGTTTGCCATTGGATCTTATCTAGCTTCAGAATAGATGAATCATAAATAAATCAATAATCTTTCATTACTGAAGAACATTTATTTTCTTTGCATACATTAATTAATGTTTTTAATTAATGCAAGACAGAAACTTGATATATGTAATAAGTCGTCAATTTATACATACCACCAGAAATCTTTAAATATGACTCATTCCAGACTTAGTAATATTACTTTTTAGAGTCAACATTTTCCAGGAAAAAAAACAAAACAACTGGTTGGTTTACATGTAAGGCATCATAACAAAGGTCCCTTGTTTTAATAGTCTATTTGCTAGACTGACTTATGAAATTAAGTTTCAGCAGGAAATCAAACTTGAAACCCCTGGATTTGTAGTCAACAGGTGTTACCGTTAGACCACTATGCCTGTTTTTAAAATATTAGGTCTTTATGACGTTTATTTATAGTCATTACTTGGGATTAAAATGAACAGCTCTAGCAGAATGTTGGTCATTTTATATTTTTGAACTCCAGTCCAAGAAGTTGTTTCAGAAGTAACAAATGCCTAGTTTATATGCTCCAATACACACAACCATTACTTTGGCCAGTGTTCAATTCTATAAGGCTTTTAATAAATTTAGGTGAAGTAACTCACTGGGGATTGAACCAGCGACAATATTTTTGTAACCAGTCAGTGCTACCACTTATCTGCATTACTAGCATTAGACTGCTCTGAGGATAAATGTCTGGTTATATGATAACTTTATCCGATAAAATGGTCTGTTAGATCTAGTGCAATATGCACCCTGTTATATTACATGCACAGAAGGACAAAAAAGCTGAGTGGCATTACCTATCTTTAAATACACAAACAAAAAATAAATATAATTCAGTAATTTATCCAATTATGACCTTGACCTTTCAATTACCACATGGGAATATTGGACTTTGGTTCTGATATTTTTAACACTGAGTTATTCCACCAGATTCACACTTTAAAAGGTCAAAAAATATTCACTATGATTTTGAACTACTAATTGGCAACATAATTAATCAAATCAAAATGTTCTGTTGTTGTTTTTCATTGTTTTTTTTTAATGCCATGTACACATAAATAATATTTTTTCACAACAAAAATAACTCACTATAACTGAATAACAGTTAATAAGAAATCAATACAACAAAGGTATCTTACCTATACAAACATCTATTTTCCCTTTTATTGCTGCTTCATGGAGCGGTGTGTAGTTCCAGTTATCCCTAGCATTCCCATCAGCCCCATGCCGCAACAGTAACTGCACAACCTCGGCATGCCCGAACGAACAAGCATTGTGTAAAGGTATGAGACCACCATCATCTCTGGCATGAACATTGGCACCACATTCTAATAAGTGCTCGACAACATCCTTCCTTCCAAAACCTGATTAAAAGAAAAAGAAAATAAGCAATGTTATCATCTAGGACTGTGCAGATAAAGGAAAATTGCATGGACTTCATGCTTTCTTCACTTCCAATTCTGGATCCTATGTATGTTACCTACAGAATAACTGGGAAAAACCCACTTTTGCAAAGTACCGGATCACATCTATTTGCAAGTACTTGGAAATTTACTTATATATTGACAGTTGCCATAAATTCAAGATTGTTCTAGACTACCGTCAACACCATTTCTGTTTATGTAAAAAAAAAAAAACTATTCAGGCATTTGTTAAAAAGGAGAATAGTTGGATATTTTTTAAACATTTATCATGGTTTATTTAATGTATCTGCCAAATTTCTTCAATATAGAATGTTTCAATTATTCATAAATATACAGTATCAAATTTATCAATTTATAGTGTTAAAATGCTTAAAGTAACAAATCATGGACACTTTGGGTATGCTGTGAATAATAATTTTAGTTGTTTTAAAGCTGAGCTAATTAACTGTTATAAAGGTGCTTGACCAACAGATGATATTGGGAAAACATAAAATTAATCTGCTTCAAATTACACTTGTTTCTATGAATATATACTGGTATGTCTATTTGTTGATAAATATTGTTTCATGTAAAATTGATTTATATGTTTGTATATATGATCAATATTTGAATTATTTTTTCTGTCCATTAGCCAAAGGCAAGTTTTTGTGGATATTTGCTAATAAAAGTTGTTGCTGTTGTTGTCTATAAATTAAAGAATACAGCCAATCCAGATTGATTGATATTTACAGAAATTTCATTGGGTCATGCAAGTTATTTATCATTCATATGGAGCAAATCATGAAATTGAAAGGAATTATGGCAAAATGTAAACTCATTTGCCTTTCACTTGTTTACTCACTATACTGTACCTAGGATCTGTGGGCATAATGTCAGTTTAATAAATTACTGATGTTAATATCACTTGTAGTCTTGTAATAAGACATGTAAAAAGTTATTAAACATTTCATATTTTACATAGTGACATTTAACATAATCATTTCATTTTATCAAAGCTTTTTTCAACAAAATTAAAAATATGAAATATAAATATAAAGGAAACACATGCAAAAGTTAACTTTATTGTGGGTAGGTCTAGTAACTGACCTTTTAGAAAATCTAGCTAAACACTGTTTCACAGTATGTTATGGATTTATCTCTGGGGAATGAAGTACATGGCATTATTAAGAGATATTTCTATTTTTTGTTACTTTTTTACTGTTTAAGGTGGAATAACTTTCAATGTCTTGATCATAAGTTGATGTGTTAGAAAATAATGGTTCTTTACAGTTTACAATCTATCTCAATTTGTCAAATTTTACAAAAAATAATTTACTAATAAAACTTGTTAAACTGAGTACATTTTTTATGTTTTCACATTGTTTCATTGATTTATCTGTAAAAGATATACTATGCTCAAATTTGATGTTTGAAAATATTAATATCTACTAGGCTATATTGCCTCTTTGTTTAAATATAAAATAAACATGGTTCGGCTTCATTCAAAGTAGATACTCCATACAGTAACACTATAAGTGGTCATAATATGAAAATATATGAAAAGACCAACTTCCCTTGACCTTAAATAGCGGTATGACTAAATACCGAATATGAATTCATATTCGCGAATATGAACGGGAGTACCGAATATGAATATTATTTTCTTAAAATCAGCTCTTATGGGATTACTTACGTCAACAGAGACTATTAATTACTTGTATCATATGTATTTTAATGAAAGAAAATAAATTCTGATCTTTTGGTTGTAAATTAATTACTGTGACCAAAAAGTTACCCGAATATGAACGAGAATGACGAACATGAACCTTACTATTTAAACAGTATATAAAATAGCTCACAAGAGTATATAAATAGATATTTCAAACTATAACTTGAAATGAAACTTTGTTTTAACATAGATGACAGTTTACATTTGCTAAGTAATTTAGTTACTGTGACTTGCTATACAGTACTGTAAAGATTTAATTCATATTCGTGACAGAATAAGAACGAGGATACCGAATATGAATATTATATAGATATAAATGAACTTTGTCTGATAGTTTCGTAAACAAAGACTAATATTATATACTTGCATCATGTCATTGAATGAAATTAAATCAGGGCTCAAGCTAGGTTCTAAATTTAGGGAGAAGTCACTTCTCCCTCAAGCTGCTTTAGGGAGAAGTGGGGAGACTTTAGGGAGAAGTGAGGAGATTCATTTATCGATGTTTGTTGTATGTTATCGCAATTATGTTGACTCACTGTACATATCTTATTAATTGAATTGGATTTGTGTTACAACAGAATATTCAATTTTAACTTAAAAGTAGTTTGAAACAAGTTATAAGAATGAGTATCATGTAATGCAACCATTGCATTAAATGAAGATAAAAAAGCCATAGTTGATTCCTATCATGGATCATATCATGGGTGGATTAACAGTTATTCCCTTCTGATTTACTATTAAAAAGCTTGCGCCGGACATTATATTCATATTCACTTATGTTGTAAAGAAAATGAAAGTAGATAACAAAAGTAACGATCTTTAATTTAACTTCATTTTTAATAAATACAGTGTAATACCCCGTCAATTTTATCAAATTTAACTCGTCGACAAAAAAGGTTATCATAACTTTCATTTAAAATTACCGTTACATTTATATGTCGGGCGGTCCTCTTAATTCTGACAATCATTCAAAGTGAAAATTTAATTGACGTTTGATCCGTCCATCATAAATAATTGTTACGGGTAGTTGTATGTTAGCGATTTAATGATTGGTTTAATAATGTCGCCTCGATTAAAACGTGAATTACGATTGGTTTCTCGCACGTATCGGTAATCTCGCCGTGGGCGGAGTCTAATTGTTCCTCGAGTGTCTGTTAATTAGACTTTTATGACATGTTGGTAAACAAACGGATTAATAATGAGATGCATGACAGTCCCTTTTTCCGGCGGCGAGGGTAAAAAAAGCAAACACACACAACATGTTGTTCACAGTTATTGTTATTGTTGGTAATTTTCAATAATGGATCAATAAAACCGGGCGACTTCATCTTCGCTTTCATGTAGGATGTCGGCGAAGTCAGACGGAATTCGGCGACTATTTCGCCCGAATCGCCCACTAGCTCGAGCCTTGTAAATGAATTTAATGCATTGGTTGCAAATTATTGTGACCAGAAAGATACCAGAATGACAAGAATACCAAATATGAACATTAATTTGATACTATATACATGCATATAAAAACAACGCTTATAAAGTATACTAATTATGCTTTAATTTTTCAAGTAACTAATATTCACTATGGCAGGGCTCCAGATAATTTTTTAGGGCAACATTTGAGTATTTACTCATTGATTTTTTTGTGAATGAGTAAAACTTGAAATCTGAAATTTGGCAGGAGTATTTTTACTCCTTAAAATGTATCATTTTTTTTTGCTTTTTGGACTCCCTTGGTTTACAATCTTGCATTTCCAAACGGCATATGTTTTATCTGAACCTGAGGCATGTTTCTGTTGCTCATACGTGGCAGCGCTAATTATTTCATTAATTATAACCTTAACTGATTTTTTTCCGCATAAAATACGAGTCAATCGTTTTAACTTTTGACAGCGAAATTGTACCGGATGTTTATGTATTGTGTTAATTCCACCACCTTACTATACATACGATAACATCCGATGATAGTCAGAACTACAGGAAGTTTCCGTTACATGTTGCAAAGCATTCATACGAAGTTAATTCCACCACCATACTATACATATGATAACAACCGATGATGGTCGGAACTACAGGAAGTTACCGGTAGACGCTTGCAAAGCGTTCAGACGAAATTAAAAATAAGATAATCACCGAGTTTACTTTCGGTTACGTTTATACGCGAAAGAAATGTTGCTCAAGGCGTAACCTGAATTTTGTGTGCGTTTTCATACGCTTAAATTTTGTTTTGAACGCGTAAACGTGTTATTTCCATGCGTAATTTACGCGTATACGCATCTTATCTGAAGCCCTGCTATGGTATAATATTAGACCCTAAGCCAAAATTTTATGAAAGCAGGCTTCGCGAAAGTTGCCGGACCGTCGGACATGTCCGACAAAAATTAGGCCGGTCCGATATTTTTTTCCGAGTTCCGGACCTTATGTCCGGTACGAATACCGGGATATATCCAAGACCAATCAAGGCCGAGTTTTCTACCTTGAATTAAAAAAATGTAAAACGAGTTTTGATTCGCCGTTTCATTTTTAGTGTCCAATCAAATTCTAGATACATACAACTTTCAATGATCTTGTACTCGGAAGAAAATGTCGGTGTTACTGCATTATTAAATTATTACGTTGGCGCTACGCCAGGCAAAAAGTTAACGCAAATTATCTAATGAAGGAAAAAAGCGAAACAAAAGAAATACGAGTCCAGGCGCATGCCGAGAAAATTTGTGGGTAAATGGAAAAATGGCCGCTCGTGGTTGGTTTTTAACGAGGAAGGAAATAAGATGAAATGTACATTGTGTCATAAATTTTATAAAGATCATATGATGATGATGATTTTGATCATGAATGTTTAAATTTCCAGACAGAGTCAATCAATCTGGATAAACTGATGTTTTATTTAAGAGAATAAAATTGTGTTGCAAATCTTTAAAAGTTCCTATGTCTTTAAAAAAACACAAAGGTATTACCATATACATATATTTGGGAAAAAAAAATCGGTCAGACAAAAGTTCTTTCGGTCAGACAAGAATTGAAAGTTTGTCTGACCGAATGTCAGGCAAATGTTTCAGCAGTTTCGCGAAGCCTGTGAAAGTAATATTCATATTCGGTATTCTCTTCATATTCGCGAATATGAATTCATATTCGGTATTTAGTCATACCCCTTAAATAGGGAATGTATTTTTTCAGTACAAAATTTGAACACTTAACTTTTTTTTACTCAAATTAAAACATTCAGTAAGGATTTCAAGGATTTCAATGTATATCTGTGATAAGAATATTTTACACAATGATAAGCATTAAATATCTTTAAAGATACATGACAAATGAGATACACCAGTTGGTCTTTTTAAAAATTATGGGCCACTTATTTATTTGCCAAGAGTTCGAAAAATTTCGAGGACGAAAGAATAATTATTCAACAAAATTCACTCATTTTAATACCAGTAATATAACTGCAGACTGTTATTGTAGTACGTTAACACCTTATTTGAACAAAGCATCAACATATAATAAAACGATTAGCGTTAATCAAGTGAAGGCAGCGAAGCGTGACTACAAAACAAAACACTCACCCGCAGCGAAATGTAACGGCGATGATTTCCTCCCTGCTGTGTCTTTAGAGTTAACATTGTGTGTATTTACAAGCTTTTTCACTTTGTTTAAATCTCCATTTCTACAAGCTTCAAAAAGTTCTCTACCAGGGTCATTCTGGGAAGGAGAATTCTGTTCCAGCATAGACCGACGAGCGGCCGCCATTTTAATTTTCAAACTCTCGGCAGAGCGAGATTCTCGATTCTTTACCAACCCAATAACACTGTACGCGTGTAACGTTTATTGTGCGTGCAGTAGTAAGCACGGCAGTGTAAGAAGAACACGTATGTTGTATTACGACAGCGTATTATTTGCACTGGCTAAAACTATTTTTTGTCCCAGTTTGAACATGTTGAAGGAATAATGAGAAAAAATGGTGCTTAGCTATTATTTTGTAACATATTAGCAAGACTTCTACATAAATATTAAGATTTTGTTCACTGACTCGCACATGTATTACTGATACGAATACATGTACATACAGTACCTATATTCCTGTATGTTGTAATTAAGGTTGTTACCACACGTAAGTGAAATTTTATAATTTGTATATAGTTACTAAAACAATCTTCAAACATCGAAGAATATGTTAAATATGTTCTGCAAATATTTGTCGACATTACTGTATATGTAATCATTAAAATATATGCATTCATTTCTAATTGAAAACTTAGACTTCGACTTTATAGAAAATAAATTTCTGATTACTTCCCTTTATTAACATGAAATGTAAATTCGGTTATATCTTTACAAATAAAATGTAATGATTTTTGGAACTTAAAATATTGATAAATCTTCATTTTAGCATTATATTTATGATATAAACTATAAAAATTAGTTACAGGATCTTTAAGAAACGGCAAACATTATTTAGAATGTCGTAAACATGGATTTACAACATGTTATACTGGTTGGAGAGATAACTCAACAAATAAGTACATGATTGTCACCTAGATATATAGGAGCAGGACAGACTCTTAATTATGATATCTTTAGATTTAGTAAACTTTTTAATGTAGTCATATGTCAAATAAAATAACTCGACTTTTTGTATATATAAACTGTTCCAAAACGTTCTTTCTTCTAAAATACCATAAGGTAGATAGAATTGTCTTGACCACAGGCCACTGACTAAAAAAAAAATAATAATAAAAATTAAAAAAATAAGAAAAAAGATAAAACATAAAATATAACAATAATTATTGATACTGACCTTCCAACTATTTTTGACATGAAAATCAATGTACTGTTTTGGGGATAAAAAGACCATGTTTTGAATACCGCATTTTAGGACCAAAATAAATACCTGTTTCTATTTCCATTAATACATTTAGTAGTGTATCGTAAAGTCTTTGACCTGAACTTTAAGGTGAGTCAATATTTTAAATATGCACGAAGATAATTAAGATATTGCCAAAAAATATGTGAGTTAGTGTCGAGTTATGTCTACAACCATTATGCTTAATTAGGACCTGGCAAGAGTAGAGCAGGAATTGAAATAATTAAATTGTCCATATAAAATTACTTAAACTGTAGGCGTTCTTATTGCCGAAATGATAATGGAAGCTAAAGAAGACTGTTAGAAAGCTGTGCTTTTGCTGCTGATCGTTCCAAGACGGCGCCCCTCCATGCCCTCTTAGGAGATGTATATGTCTTCTTGATTGCTACATAGTAATTGTGGTGACACTTGTTGTGTCCCTTTTTGTTTTTTTTTGTGCCCCCACTTTAGTGGCGGGCATTTAGATTTACCCTTGTCCGTCCGTCCGTCCGTCCGTCCGTCCGTTCTCTTTTGTGTCGCACGTAACTCAAAAAGTATTTGACCTAGAGTCATGAAACTTTACAGGAATGTTGATCAGCATGTGTAGTTGTGCACCTGGGTATTTTCGTCTGGATATTTTTAGTATTTTTAGAGTTATTGCCCTTGACTTAGTAAAATTTTGCAATTTTCAACTTGTGTCGCATGTAACTCAAAAAGTATTTGACCTAGAGTCATGAAACTTTACAGGAATGTTGATCAGCATGTGTAGTTGTGCACCTGGGTATTTTCGTCTGGATATTTTTAGTATTTTTAGAGTTATTGCCCTTGACTTAGTAAAATTTTGCAATTTTCAACTTGTGTCGCATGTAACTCAAAAAGTATTTGACCTAGAGTCATGAAACTTTACAGGAATGTTGATCAGCATGTGTAGTTGTGCACCTGGGTATTTTCGTCTGGATATTTTTAGTATTTTTAGAGTTATTGCCCTTGACTTAGTAAAATTTTGCAATTTTCAACTTGTGTCGCATGTAACTCAAAAAGTATTTGACCTAGAGTCATGAAACTTTACAGGAATGTTGATCAGCATGTGTAGTTGTGCACCTGGGTATTTTCGTCTGGATATTTTTAGTATTTTTAGAGTTATTGCCCTTGACTTAGTAAAATTTTGCAATTTTCAACTTGTGTCGCATGTAACTCAAAAAGTATTTGACCTAGAGTCATGAAACTTTACAGGAATGTTGATCAGCATGTGTAGTTGTGCACCTGGGTATTTTCGTCTGGATATTTTTAGTATTTTTAGAAGTTATTGCCCTTGACTTCGTAAAATTTTGCAATTTTCAACTTGTGTCGCATGTAACTCAAAAAGTATTTGACCTAAAGTCATGAAACTTTACAGGAATGTTGATCAGCATGTGTAGTTGTGCACCTGGGTATTTTTTACTGGATATTTTTAGTATTTTTAGAGTTATTGCCCTTGACTTAGTAAAATTTTGCAATTTTCAACTTGTGTCGCATGTAACTCCAAAAGTATTTGACCTAGAGTCATGAAACTTTACAGGAATGTTGATCAGCATGTGTTGTTGTGCACATGGGTATTTTCGTCTGGATTTATTTAGTATTTTTAGAGTTATTGCCCTTGACTTAGAAATTTTTTGAAATTTTCAACTTGTGTCGCATGTAACTCAAAAAGGATTTGACATAGGTTGAAGGTTGCTCAGCATATTTAGTTTTGCACCTGGGGTTTCGCTTGTGGATTTATCCAGTATTTGTAGAGTTATTTCCCTTGACTTATTAAAAACTGTATCATTAGGTTGTTATTTGTTCCTTGAGTGCTTGAGTTAGAATCAACCAACTTTACAGGAATAATGATCAACATCACTAAATTACAGGAATAATGATTCACATCACTGTGAAGCTATGCACCTGGGACTTTGCATGTGGATTTTTTTCAGTTTTGTTAGAGTTATTGCCCTTGACTTACAGTAGTATAAATTTGCAATTTCCAACTTGTTCATGCATAGCTCAAAAAGTATTTCACATGTAGGCCTGAAAGTTTACAAGAATGTTGGTCAGCATGTGTACTTATGCACCTTGGCGTTTGCTTGTGGATTTATTCAGTATTTTTTAAGTTCTTGCCCTTTACTTAGTAAAAGATTTTTAGTTTTCAAAAATTATTTGACCTACAGTCATAAGATTGACAGAACAGTGGCGCGGTGGGGGCACCCGTGTCCTATGGACACATTTCTAGTTATCGTCAACAGCCAGAATCCACTGTCCCATAGATCTTTTTGTCCCCCCCCCCCCCGATTTGGCCCCCATCCCCAACCCTCTGGTCTGGTCTTTTTCTCTGCACCCTTATCTCTATGATTTGCCTTTTAATTAATTGCCTTCTTTAATGTCTTTGTCGGTTTTCTTATTCTATGATTACTTTTATCGAATTGATGATTATAACGCCTCGCTCTTGTTGCTGGTTTTTGTTGGTGGAGGGGAGTAGGGTAGGGGTGCGTTCATTTGAGGCCGCTCTTCCTCGTTGATCTTTGTTTTTATGTTTTTAGTATTTTCTATGGAAGGTAAAATACCACAGTTCTTTAACTTTTTTCTACTTAATAACAAATTATATAACATTCAACGCTGTTGTCTTATCTAAGAAGGACTGGAATAACAGTGAAATGTGAATGAAATGCCAGTCGGTGTGCTAGAGACTGGGTGATAAGCATTTAGAAAGCTCTAAATTCCCTATTAACGCATTATATGTCATTAAGGACATGACCGAGGGCGTGAGAGGTTTTGCGCCTTTCATTATATCTCATGAGCAGACTAAATCAAACATGAGGCTGCAAATATGAATTTGATCCTTTAAAACTCCCATACTTTCTCGGGATATCTTAAAATCTTCCATATTTAGCCTTTTCAATTTCAAATTAAGTTATCCAAGATAGAATTTGAACGTATATGATTGATAAAAACGTTGTAGTTCCGTAGTATTATTGCGCAATATGCAAATTACTGCCGAAACGATTTACCGCTGTCGAAAAAGTAGGACATCAAATTATACTATAATTAAGGTGTTAGCTCTGAGTTCCAAGAAATTATTGGTAGGAAATAAATATTTCTACATTAAACAAAACATTATTATTAACAAATCAAAGTTTTTCGTGACTCTAGAATAACTCGCGAATGAATAAAAGAAGAACTATTTTCGTGACTCATACCGCGGGTTTAAGTTATTAATAGTTTAGATACAGTACAATGGTTACTTTTTTGAAAATGCATGTAACAAGAGATTTTTTCAACACTTTACCACCATGTAGTCTTTCATTAATAATCTTTATTGAAGGAAGTTATAATATCAGTTCTACTTCCGATTCTTGTGTTTTGTTTACATTTTTTCTAGGTCACGATATGAGTTAACCTTCGCTATTCTAAAAATAGATTCTGCATCACCTGTGCTGACTTTCGGGAGTACACATTATACATGTTATAAACCACCGGATACTTACTTTGCTTACATGCAATACTTTTAGAAATTCTATACAATTGGAAGAAGCAAACAAGATGAAAAAGGAATTTAGTGTGAAATTGAAAAGGACAACTTAACACTGTAGTGCTTAAGTGACATTTTAATTAAAATAAAAACGATGTGCTCTGGCATCTACATCTTTACCTTGTAAATAAAAAAAATCTTAAAAATACACCATTAATTGCTGATGATTTTAACCAAAAATATTTTTAATGAGACATATCCAAGAGAAATAAAAATACAAATGACTTATATTTTATTGTCTATATGCCCATTATGATATAACACGAAGCAATTCACATTATCACATGTATTATGTATTATGCTTGAAGTTTATTTGCATGGTTTTATTTTAGAAATATTTCGTTGACAGTTTTTTTCTATTTACATATCATTTCTTGGAATAAATCGATAAGGTTTACAAGATTGACCAGAGTTTTTAGGCATAAATTTCATTCAGTATTTAAATGCTTGAAAGTAGAAAATCTGAATTATATCAGATTGGGACACATAAAATATATTGATCTACAAATCTCGAACTTGTATGGAACAAATTTTCTCTGTTGTATCTTTTGTGTTGTTTTTTCCCCCTAAAAACAGCCTTAATGTCTTCTCGGTTGCATGTCCGTCGCATTCAGTGCTGCAGCACTTTGATTACTTTAGGGAAGGCATGCATAAATATTTCGTTACGGATAAAGAGAAATTTCTTTGAAACACGTATATTCAACAAAATGATAAAAATAAAAATATTCCGAAGAGCGCGATTTATTGACGGAAAAGGTGATTTCATATGAAAATGTTTGCATTGCGAAATTCTCCAGTTCGCTATTCATTGTACATATCGCGACTAATTAATAATCAAGCACCCTCATACCGATCGGAATGATCGGCTTTTATTATGAACAACTATAAAAGGCTCGAGAAGTTGCTGTCGCCCTTTCACAAAATCTGATTTCATTCCATAAAAGGCGCCGCGCTTCGGCGCGGACGCCAATTATATTGGAAAAGGAGCAGAAGACGTACTGTATATGTGGACAAAGGGGAACAACTCAGACAGAACATAAATTTATGTTCACTGATGACAACATTATAGTTTAGTTGTTCTTAATAATGTTGCTGTTTTTGTTTTAGAGTGCCTTCTCATCTTTGTGTTGTTATATTCATAAATATGTTGCGAATGGCTTTCGTCTCTAATCTTTTAAAGCTCCATGTCAAACTGTTCAAGAAAATCAAGTTGAGAAAAAAGTAGATTTTCAGAAAGGTATTAATGTTTACAGTAAGAGCTTTTTCTGCAAATTCTGACCTAATTCTGATAATTTTCGTAGATTTTAAGCACCGCCTGCAATGTGTAAAGCACTTCTCTTTTTTACACTTTGACCATATTTTACTGTTTAGTTTTAATGACTCTGGCAGGGATGCTGCTTTAAAATATAAGTTGAAAAATTGTCGAGGGCGCATTTTATTAAAATATTTTAGATGCGTTGAATAACTTTGATACTTTGTTAAAAGTAACAAGGTGATCATACATGTATATTTTTCATAAACATGTATATTTTATGTTTCATTTCACCACTCATAGATTGACACAATAAGATAACATATTGTAGGACAGAATAGCTCATCTGACAAAATTTTGCCAGTCGGAGATTTTCATATTAATAAGAACAGAAAAGAACACTTTTTGTTTAACTAAACTTCTTTTTACAGCAATATAAACACAGTATGAACAAGATGTACTCGTACAATACTGAAAATGCACATGAATATATGTGACATATATTCATGTGCATTTTCAGTATTGTACGAGTACATCTTATAATGTGAACATTTGTTTAACATAGTTTTTAAAGCATATGTACGTTTGTCTATCTGCATAACTTCAATATTCATCACTGTCTGAGACGGCATCGCAACCTAAGTCCAACACTAGTTAGTCTCATATTTGACATCAGCTTTTATTTGAAACCTTCAGCAATGCCGACGACATTCATTAGAAGCTTCATCCATTTCATTCAACAGTGACTACGCTAACCGTCAAAAGCTTTATTTAATTGTTTCAGCACTGTCGACACTGCCCACTTAAAGCTTTATTCAACCGATTCAGCAATGACGCCACTGTCCGTCAGAGGCTTCTTTCAGTTGATTCAGCAATGACGTCACTGCCCACCTGAAGCTTTATTTAATTGATTCTGCAATGACGTCACTGCCTGTCAATACTCGCCTTTCTAAAGCTTTAGTGCAATAACAACATTGACGTTCAAAATGTCTATTCCATTGTTTCAACAATGACAACATTCACTTTCAACAATCACTTTCAGAAAGTCTATTCCGATACGTTGAATCCTCTTTCACTAAACACGTGCACATAATAACTGGCCCCGTTCCACAGAACAACCAGAAACACGAGCGCTATCAGAGTACAATGCACGGAAAAATAGCTGTAAGCCAGGACAGCGGGTAGTAGAGATGTCAAACAAAACAGCCAGTTCATCCCGTAGTATACTAACCCTTGACCCCTGAAAATAAATAAATTATATTTTATCACATTGAACACACTATAGTTATGATTACTGTAAGAGAATGTTTGACTCAAAATGGATTTTATACAAACCTTGAATTAGTCCTGGTAAAATTCATACAAGAAATATACCAAGATATCCTCTTAAGATAACCCTTTTGAGAAAGTTGTCAATGGTGGGAAACGCAATAAGCAAAAAGCCTTTGCCACCAGTCTAAAACAAAATGGGTATGCACATCCATGCAGTGTGACCAAGTTCTACACTGTTGGCTGGCTTACTTTAATTTTCGTTCCTGATATTTCGAAAACAGACAGTCCGGTAAAATGGAAGCTGGGCAGGTGCGTGTAAGAAATTCAATAGATTAAAGCTGCGAAAATGTTTCAAGAAAATCAAACGTAGGAAAAGTACTAAGATTTTGAGAAAAGTAAAAAAATAATCAAGATTTAAGAAATGATTTAAATGTTATGTGTGATTAATGACTGATTTAGCAGCAATGTGTAAGTAATGTGTCCTTACCATTTACCATCTATACACTTTAAATTGTTGTATTTTTCAGCAAGGTAGCTGTAACTAGTGACGTATGGCTCACGTGGTCTCATCACTACGTTAATTATCAAACAGTAAAGTGCCTGTAATTATACCAGAGAAACTGTAAGAACGTGTACACATACATTTTAAAACATGTGAATTAACTAACAACATACATGTATTCAAAAATATGTAAAAAAGAGTGTGGCAATTTTTATCAGGTATACTTTTAAAAGAAAGTTATGTTTATGTCTAGATTAAGCTAAGTTAGTGAAGAAATTGATACATTCTGCAGGAAATAAAAGAATCTATCTAACTAATAAAACATATTTAAAGGATTCATTTTCATGATAATCTAATAATATTCTACTACATGTACTATTTTCAACAGAAAAATCGAACTTACAGAATGCACAAAGAAGGACGCAAGGGGTACTGCGTACAACCAAACCACGTCAAAGTCTGAGTCATCGGTGATAAAGTCTTTTACCCAAAATTGTGAGGTGGATTCTGGAAACCATCTGATGCTATAAAATAGATACATCTTTATTTTAGATTACAATGATTCCAAATAACTGTTTTTCGTTTCGACATTCGCTATAGTGATCAATAAATACGGACCAAAAGTCAATTTCTCTAAGTTGTAGAGCTAAAGAGCTTCATCGGGCAACTTATTGTCAGTATCAGGTTGATTTAGATAATATCACTGATGTTAAAAAAGATATCGTATTTGTCAAAACATTTTAACGTCGGACCAATTGTCTCATACATATTAATCTCTTCCAAGATACCTTTGGTGACGCCAAACGCCCGAAAAGCAATCGTTTTTTGCGAAACCTGACCTCTCAGGATTTCCATTGGTCGGTGTACTTTCTGCGGCAGTTTATGACCAATGAAATACCTCAGATCTTAGTTTGAGGTTAGAGAATTTCTATATAATCTCAGATCCAAATCGCACACTTCAACTAAAATTTACTGAACAGACAGAACAAAGTCACGGTAACAATAACTGTACTTACCAGAAAGTCAGCAAAGCTGGCAGGAAATGGATGTAACAAGATGTGATTTTGTCATGATTGTGGTACACCAAGGAGTTTCGGTAAACGGCAGCCGCAACCAGCACCGGTCCGTTAGCTAGAGCAAACACAACACGAAACAGCTCTCCGCCTGCATCCGGTAACCTACAAAATAGAAACATACCATGTGAAGAAATCAAATAAGATCTTGTTCAAATGTAATATGTCATATGGGCGCACTGATAGATGTCATATCGGTGCAATAATAGATGCCATATCGGTACAATAATAGATATCATCTCGGCAATAATATAGATGTCATATCGGCGCACTAATAGATGCCATATCGGCACACTACTAGATGCCATATCGGCAATAATATAGATGTCATGTCGGCACACTAATATATGCCATACCGGTGCACTAATAGAAGTCATATCGGCACATTAATAGATGTAATATCGGCGCACTAATAGATGTCATATCGGCAATAATATAGATGTCATATCGGCACACTAATAGATGTCATATCGGTGCAATAATAGATGTAAAATCGGCACACTAATAGATGTCATATCGGCACACTAATAGATGTAATATCGGCCCACTAATTTATGTCATATCGGTGCAATAATAGTTGTTGTCATATCGACGCACTAATAGATGTCATATCGGTACAATAATATTTGTCATATCAGCGCACTAACAGATGTCATAACGGCGCACTAATAGATGCCATATCGGCGTGCTTCTTAAAGTAATGTCAGGGTTCTATAAATATTACATGTATTCCCTATAAGTACTTTATTACACGCGGCATATTATCATAAATCCAGATATGAAGCAGATTAAGACGTGTCCCTTGTGTGTGTTTTTACCATTTACTTGTTAAAACTAAAATAATGATAATCTTATATGAAAATTTCAAATGTCACTGAGTAGCAAACAATGCAGACCATGATCAGACGGCACGTATGTACCGGCATATCTTGGTCTGAACTGATAGTAAGGCCGCCAACAAGCTAAAGGTATAATAACTTGAACTTACCACAGATATACCAGCGTTAACGTGTTTGCAAAATAGCAGAAGTCCACCATGAAATACTGCCATTTATTCTTCCTGAAACAATGTTAGTACAAAATGTATTTTAATTCAACATCAAGTGTTTATAAATGTAAACAGACATATATATTTACAAAAGTTTGCTAAGTTGTTTAAATATGTCCTTCACAATCATCTTACAAACTATTCATTAATCTGTTTTTATATACATCGTGATGCACCAAATCCTTTCCTTCTTTTTTCTCTCTAAAACGCTGCATCATTTTATCTGATGGCTGCAAGTTAGCCCATAGGCCTATCATCAACAAAAAAAAAATAGATATTATGGTATTTTGTTTATTACGTTTGGTTTAAACATATTCATTTAAGACAGATTGCAAAACAAATTCTTGCAACTTCTATTGATCACTTTCGAGACCGCTTCCTGGAAACAACCAGTACTGGTGTAATATGAAGGAACATGGTCGTGACCCGATTAGGGCTCGAACCCATGATCCCTGGGTTGAGAGGCAGATACCTTAACCACTAGTAAACCGCTCCCCTTTATGTTTATTATGTAACCACGTGTCAACGCAATCATTTAAGTAAAGCATACCAATAACAAAATGTCTTGATGCCCACTAGCAAGGGGGTTAGCGTAGCAAACGTTATAGGGAGGATCCATTGAGCCCATGTGATCCCGTGGGTCAGCAATATAATGCCAACAGACGTCAGTACAAATACTGTTTTCTCGAGCACCCGTCCATTCTTTTCTTTATCCAGTGCCTGTAGTTAAAATATAAACGAATAATCATGATAACTGTGTATGGACAATATGATAGCATTTAAAGTATGTGATTAGAAAAATATTACTGTAATTTGTAAAGGTAGTGTGAACATAAAAGATCTAAATGTTAGTTCTAGTTCAGCTGAAAATGAGCCCCCGTTGTCTTCGCGAATATTCGTCTGAATATAGGTTTCTCCCAACAATTTCATCAAAGCCTTGGTCTTTGGTCTTCAGTGGGGACAGCTTGTATTTGACTTACCATATTTCAAAACCATCAATGTTTTTTCTCCAATGTTGGGTTTCCCGCAATGTTACGTTACGTTAAATTTGTGACGTAACATCGATTAGTTGTTTTGTATGAAATGTTGTATAGTTAAGTACATGTACAATGCGCCTAATGAAATATATACAGTAGATATTTGTGTGTTGTAACAGTATTTTTGTTGAGATTCTTTTTCATAGATTACATTCATTTTCAAAGAAAACAAACCGTTTGCGAAAATGACGTCATATAATTTACGTTAACGTGCCGAACTTCTTAAAACGATAATATTGAATATTTTTACGTCACAAGATTAATTTTGTAATTTCTGTTAGGTGAGAATTTAAATAAATATAGATATACTTAGTAATAAAATAAACAGTATTATCATATCGCATCTTCTCGAATCTTTCTGTCAAACTTCGGATAGTTATTATCTATAATGTTCCGATTGCAGTTTTATCACATAGTTGGGGTAAAATTAGATTTTATTCAACTCGTTTAATAAATTAAGTATTAAATCTAGGCTACAATCATTCAATATCCTCTATTTCCAACCATAGATATATTCCATGTCCGAGTTCCTATTATTTAAATACATCGCGATCGTACGATATTGCGTCAGAAATTTAAGACTAACGATTTTACAGATATGAAAATAAATAATAATTACCTTTGTTTCCTGAGGATGTTCATCCGGGTTCTCAAGCTGAAAATATGCATCAGACCCATCTATCGTTAATCTCCCTTTTTTCTTACACTTACAACGTTTTATTTTCGCTTTTTCCGTGGTACACATCTTTGTAAATACTGCGCAGTAAACGCGGTTTCTATAGTCAGTAATGACAGTATCTATTTGTTGTTGATTTTCTTATATAATATTATATAACATACGGAAATATTATGGTACGTTACGATACTTAAGCCCCTCAGGGCCGGTTTTCTCCTTTCCAATACAGATAAGGGGGTTAATTGTTAAACAAGCGTTAATGAGATTTTGTATATATGTTACACGTGAACATTAGACGTTGACTCATTTCCGGTCCATAAATCAAGAGGCGATACTACCAAAGTATTGGTTTAAAGTACAGAAATTGTCTGTGGCAAAGTGTAAATAAATAAACAGATAAATAAATAAGTAAATAAATAAATAGAATTAAAAAAGGCAGTAGCTTAAAGAAGAAGACATTTACATTAATAATTACGCTTACATTATTAGTAATAACGCTTTTTGACAGCTTATCCTGGAAGTAACTTACCGTTTATATACGGCCATATAACCTACCAAGAAAAAAACAACACTTTATGTCGGATTTATAATACAGCAAGCTTCTTTTATTTTAGGAAAATATGAAACTACTTCAAAAATTGACAACAGCCTGTTGTCCAATGAAAAGCCAGAAAAGATACTTCAAATGATGCGTGTGTGTATAATACATGAATGAATGTGGAAATTTTACAGAAACATTTAAGCAGCGATGCCATTTTACTTCCAGAAATACTCCAAGAATTATATGTATAATCATTATAGAAAATATAGAAAGTTTCTACATTATTCTATGTCTTATAACTTGCCACTCCAGTCGTCTTATAACAAATAAATAGTCTGTAATATTCAATTAAAGACCATTTTGTAAATGGTGAATATTAATGGCGCGTATCTCTATATTTTTCATTACTGTCAAAGGGAAGTCAATCCGCCCCATTTCCACTTAATTTAATCTATACAGTTACGTCCCTTACCCCAAATACGAATGATGATGTGGATTAAGGGCACATTAAGAATACATTTTGTTTTCTGTAGAAAGGGTAAACATGCGTTTTAAATTGTTTCATAATGAATTTAGAGAATGTTAGATACGTATCACGTAAAGGAAATAGCGCTGAATGTGAAATAATATCTCATAAAAATAACTCAGTAATTTAGACTAGAATTAAACATATTTTATGTATCTCTTGTATTTTCCTCGATATGATTGCAGAAAGTGTGACACATATTTTCATAAAAATATTGCCTCATAAATTACTGCAATCATAACGTGAAAAGTTAAAAGCTACAATGGAAGATATATACCATTGGAATCGGCAAATATTCACCAGGAACATGGTAAATGTTAATTATTCAGATATTAAAATATATCATGATTCAGACGTTCCTTCTCACTGGGATAGATATAAATATAAATTCTGTCCCAGCTTCTCAGACATTGAATGTGTGTTTTTGTTCCTGCGACCAGTCTGGATGGAGAGCTTAAGGATAGTCTCCTCTGTCTTCGGCTCGGCTCGCTGACACATTGAAGAAAATAAGAATGTCATTTTTAGTCGACTATTCGATAAGAATAAGTAGAGCTAATGTAGTCACCCGAGCGTCGGCGTCGGCGTAACCACTTATGTTAAAGTTTTAATAATACCTCAAATATTTTCAAAAACCATTGACATATGGTTTTGAAACTTTGCACATTTGTTCACTATCATGACCCAAACCTATAGACAGGAGGAGGTAACTGTATCAAGTATTTTGACAGAATTATGTGCCTTTTTCGACTTAGAATTTTCGTTAAAGTTTTTGTAATACCTCAAATATTTTCAAAGTCTATTGACATATGGCTTTGAAACAAGTTTTATACTCTTCTTTGAGAGCGTAATAGGAATCACTCCAAGGTCTATAACTGTAATATGGATTTAAAGAAAAAATTTGCCCTTTTGTTTACTTAATTAATTATCAAGGCATTTTTACTACCATTCACTAAGAATAGTCGAGCGTTGCTGTCCTACTGACAGCTCTTGTTACAGGTTGAACGTGCAACAATTGGTGTACATGGATATGTATTTAGACGATGATTATTTTCTAGAATCAAGGTCTAGACAGGAGGTGTCCGCACATGATAGGCCTTACAATATGCGGTTTTATTTCAAACACTTTCGTACAGCGCACTATTATTACGGATTCAGATATATTTTGGCACAAGCTCATACAATAAACAATATTTATGACCAGAAAGGAAACTTTATCTTACTCCCTATCATATCGTGGCATATTTCTGCCATCATGTAAATTATCTAACTGAATAACTGGTGAATGTTCGTGATGATCAGATAAATAACAGATATTTATCTGGTTAACTAAATATATTTTGTTAGGAGCATTGAAGTTTTCCGTAAATCTAATAATAATGTTATTTGTTAAGAAATTAGCGTAAAACAGACAAAAACAAAGAGATATGTACGAAATATACCGCTGTATTTCGTAATTGAAATCCCCATTATAATCTGATACTTACCTATCTAACTTAATAAACTAAAATAATTATATAGACAAATGATGTACAATGTATAACGTTTGCTGACAAATAGATTATTATCTGATATTTAACGTTTACCTGAAAATATTTTCAGATCATCATTTAATATATCAGAAAATAATTGGAAACGCAAGGGATACGTCTGAAGTATTCCGCATTACTTAGTAACTGAAAATCTATCTTGTTATTCAGATAAAATACCAGATTCTTAAGCGACTAAACAACTAACTAACTCAAAAGTTTTATAGATAAACAGATTATTATCCATTATTTAAGTGCTAGAAGTGTTTGGCAATTTTTACTTGTTTTGGAAAATAGATAGTGAATAACATTTAACTATTTACCAGAAAATAAATCTATATGTACTAAATCAAATAAATATCTGTTATTCATTTTATCAACACGAATAAGCCAGATAATTAACATTGTAAATGAGTGTTGAACTGTTGGCTGAAATATGACACCGTACTTTCAGTCTAATATGGTTTGTCTATCCATCCAAAAGCATGTAAATTAAATGAATATACAAGATACTTAAATAAACCAATGGTTGCACAAGTCAAATGTAGTGATGGTCCCCATCCACGGAGAGCAGGGATAGCGGATAGTGGGGGATGAGCTGGGTAGTTGGTTTTGGTGTTTCATGTGTGTGTTTGCGTTTGTTTACCCTCGCCACCGGAAAGAGACCATTATGGGCGAGCAAATTTTTGGTGTTTTACATATATCAAAGGGAAGCTACTCATTCCTAAATTAATCAATCGTATTTAATATAGTTACGTCCCTTACTACAAAACATACGTGTCTCTCAAACTATCTTTATACCCGTATACGCGTTTTCTTCAACCGTCATTTTATTTTCAACGCACTAAAATGATAAGAATACCGCTGATTTTCTTTTGGTGAGGAAAAAAACACGTTTTATTAAATAAAACTGAGTAAATCTATTTTCTCCGTTTGGAAGGAAGAAGAAAACGCCAATTTTCTCGTTGACAGTTATTCTAATTAATGATTCTTAAATTATACGAGGCTGAGAATTTATGTCGATTCAATGAGATTTACTTGCAATAAGGGTCGTAAATTTGATCTAAATTATCGATATAATCAAATCAATTTGGGCTTCCTAATTCAATAAATGAAAACAAAGGACGAATTGATGCGAGAACAAATTCTTTTTATTTCCTTTCATGAAGTATCGCGCTTCTCGTCAATTCTCGTTATATGTGAGAAACTGATAAACATTGAACTATTTTCTGGCTGGCAATATATATCATAGAATTCTGTCTTTGGTACCAGAAACTACATGACATTTGTATACACTTTAAAGTTTCACAAAATCATTTAAAATGTTCTTGTTACGCTTGTTTTCATTCTATATATCACATAATTCAAGATGAACATTTATGTTAGTTTTAATATTGTTATATTAAAAAAAACAATCAGGCGGTTTTGAAATAAAAACAATTTTAAAGTTTTAAAGGCACATTATACCTGAGAAACAAACAGTTTTTTTTTTACTTTAAGGAAAGGGCAAACGTTTTAAATTATCGTTTAAGATAGTTGTTAGTTACCTGTTATAATTAGCGGTAAATGTGAAATTATTTGTCAAAAATGTAAACAAAGTAGTATTTTGACTTCCATACAAAATACTAAATCACTATATTTGCTAAAAAGCTACAGAAGAAAATAGGTGGTTAATGCCAAGACTTTTTGGAAGCTATAAAAGTACGAAAAAAATATAATAAAAGCATTTCTGGGGCATAATGGACCTTTTAAATGAATGACATTGGCAACACGTGCAATAAAACAATTATTTACCTGAAGAAAGTAGCACTCAGTATAGTAGCAAAATGTAAATATAGTTGTATTTTGACTCCGATACAAATTACTAAATCACTATTATTGTACAATATTATTGCCAAAAAGCAACAGAAGGAAAGACGGTTCGGGTAATGAGCCAATGTAGGAAACTAACATAGAACACACAAAAAAAATTTGAGATATACTAATAAAACCATTTTAGAGGCATATTTGGCAATTATTTTAAATAAATCATTTCAAATAAATGAACATATCGAAAATAGCATTTTCAGTAAATTGGCATACAACAGAAAGACTTAGAGTAGAATAAAGAATTGGCATTTCGAACATTAATGTCGCGTATTGATGAAGTCCGAGACCATTAAAGTTGCCGAAATTAATAAAATTAAAGCGATATGTGTAAGTACAAACCGCTTTAAAGAATGACTCAAACTGAATAGTGTAAAGATATTTCTTGTACAGAAACAATCTCTTTCACATAGTTGATCAAAGTAGCGGCCTCTTGAACAAAATACGCTTCACAATAGTTTAGTTTTGGAGCTACTTCAAACTACCGTTTGAAATTCAGGAGATCAAAACATGGAGAAAACAAAAAACGGCACCCAAAACTAACGGCAAAGTTGAAAATCAAAACATTCTTGTTAATGTTTTTCATCGGTTCTTTCAATTACATTTTCGTTGAAGAAAAGTTTCTTTTATTAAAGTACAATAATGATTTTGTTATTTGTTCTTATTGATGCTGCTTCTGTTGTGCTGCTGCTGCTGCTTTTGTTGTTGTTGTTAATGCCGCCGCTGCTGATGTTGTTGTTGTTGCTGTTGTTGTTTGGTTTAAGTCACAACAACACTGCGAAACTCATATGGTAAATTTCCGGCTAAACTGG